TCCAAAAATTATAAAACTGACACACACACTTAATATGGTAAGTTCCTTAGTTGGATTCTAATTATTGGGTTTTATTCAAATAAATATGATACGACGGGTTATAGGCTAAAAAAAATAGAGAGTTTGGACGGGGAAAGTTAAATTTTCAGATAATGGGTATATCCTCAATCTTTTGGTATTTGCAAATCCTGGTCCAAACATATGGCTACAAAACAAGCAGTGGATCAATTAACTGTGGAAAAATTGTCTTTGCAGAAGGAGCAACCTAACACAAGGAATTTACCAAGTCAGAATATTCTGTCTCAGTTCTTGGAGGATTCGAGGCCATGAGCTGGAGGGACTTTATCAGACCAGGCAATGGGGATGAGAAGGAGTTTCTGAATTCATCTGGAAAGATTACAACCTATACCAAATTCACGATTAACAAATTAGGAATCCAAAAATTGGAAGTTTTCAACATGTAAAGATACTGCACTACGTAAACTGATGAAAGCAAAAACAGATACGTACGTACCTTACAGTTGCAAACGATGAGGGTTACATTTTCGGAGCAAGCAAACTCTTTAAGAAAATCAGCTGCCAGTGTAGGGAAATATGTCCATGGCCCGTTGAAGGCGTTGAGTAAATTGTCTTCGTCCCAAAATTCGTTCAGTGAGATGGTGGTCTAAATCAAAAGAAACTAGATTTGAAGCAGTGATTGTGGCTTTCAAACTACTGAAAATATGACTTTAGCCCCTGAAACTCAAGTTGCTTTACATAAAACCCGACATAGTCTTTTTATCTGAATAAAACCCAATGACTAGGCTTCACATAAGTAAATTCATTAATTTTGTTTGCCTTTACACATTTTTCATTTTTTAGATACCTAAAATACCCCTAATTACCGTTTTGATGTAGACATTTAATTCTATGCATATTTGAAGGGAGAAATTAATAAAAAGAAATGTATTAATGAAGTCGCTATCATTTCAACTCTTGCATTATTGTATGTCGTCTTCTTGACATTAATAAAGTCACTATCATTTCAACTCAAAAAAAAAAATTTAAATTAATTATAGAATAAAAAATGTTATTTGATTCAAAATAAATTTATCTATATTTTATATGATAATATAGGTAAATTTTTCCACACATATTTATTAGTAGTAAAATATGCCCAATATATATAATAATGCATGAAAATAATTCACCAACAAATAAAGAAAATTTGATTAAAAATTAATATATCTATTGCTTTTTGTTTATGAATTTCAATTCTTTTTTTATATTACAAACATAATGTACCTACAATATAATTTACCTATTGTTTAATCTTATAAGAAAATAATGTATCTACTATTTTATTTATTTATTTATTTATTTTTGTTTTTGTCGAATATGTACTGTTTTATTTTAATGGAGATAATTTGTCTTGGTTTAATTTTTACGAAATTATTTATGCACTGTTTAACTTTCCCAAAATAATGGAACTACTATTTTAATTTACCTACAAAATAAATACTATTTGATTCAAAATTAATTTACTTATATTTTAAATATAAATATAGATAAATTATTTTTAACAAGCATATATGATAACAAACAAAAAATGCCTAATGTATGTAATAATCTAGGTAAAATAATTTACCTACAACATAAAAGAATATTAATTGGTTTTTTGTTGTTTTATAAAACAATATTATTATTTGATGCAAAATAACTGATTGTACAAAGGATTTTTCTTTCCAAACGAAAAATGTGCCCATAAATTGTTTATGAACATAGCTAAATTTATATATATATATATATATTCCTAATATTTATCATACAAGAAAGGTAAAATTTTCATATGGGGTTAATTGCTAATCATAATTAGGGTGGGTAATAATATTTATTGACATAACTAGAGTTTTGTGGCATAAGTTGTAAATATGTGATGATAATTGGTTACATATTTGTCTACATGGTACTCTATTTGAAATTTGGGTTTTATTTGGAAGTTTAATATTATGTGGGTTTTTGCTTGGAAAATAAGAGTTTCAAGGGCCTTTTTCTAAAGAACCCTTCAAACTATCATGACTTCCATATATATGCAATCGTCTTAGGTGCTGAGCATGAAGAACAATATGCTTCAAGTTGCAGGAATCATACAACATTATACTCTCAAGGAGCGAAAAGCTCGATGAAATAAACATAAAAGATTCAAGATTCGGAGCATACTAAACTACAATAACCCGAGCATTGCAATGCTTAACTTCCAAGAACTTGAGACTAGAACTCACAAGATTAATGTTATCGTCTTTTTCAAAATAGGAGGAAGTTAAAGACAAATACTCAATGGAAGGGCACTCCTGAATTAAGAAAAATAGAGCATCACTTTCGAAGCGCACGGCTTTGAGGCTCGTAGTTTTCAAAGAGGGAAGAAGGCTTATATATATGCATAGTCTCCTCATTACTTCTGTGCATGTTCTTTATTCTCATGTACCTCAAACTGAGAGTAGTTAAAGATTTTGTATCAAGAAAACTCATTCGAGATAAGCAGTACTAGTTTTGCATCGAGTCCCAATCGCTCTGAAATAATCTACCTAGGGTTATGTCTAACTATTTGATGTTTCTCTCAAACGAGCAACTCAACAACTTATCTACGATCTTGGCGTCCTCTTTGTACAAGTACCCTGTCATGTGAACCCTAAGTTTTATCTAATGTATCTTTCCTTTGCTTATCCTTCTTAAAGAGCTCCAGGCATTTCTTCAAGATGTTGATGAACTTTTTGTGTTGATCATGATCAAGATTTTCGTCATCACGACCCTCACCGAAATCTAATATGGAACCTGAACACCACACGCGGTCCCATTGCTTAGAAAGAAGGAAACTTTAACGAAAAGCTCCGATACTATTCACTTTAACGAAAAACCACATTTTTACATTAAAAAGTCAATATTCATACTATTCACTTTACCCTTTATTTTCTCCCGTTAAAACTCAAAGTTTTCAAACTATTTTCGTTAGTTTTCCTTAGAAAGAAAGCTCATCCGGACAGCAGCTTTAGCGGGAAGGACTTGGATGATGTTTTGGATGACAAGGTCAGGCAAGTGAAACCCTAATGGCTTGACGACGGCCATGGCCGTTTTGGTTATGATCGAGTTTGGGTTGCGGATTTTTTCTCTCTTTTGCGAATTAATATCCTTTGTCAACCAAATAAAAAAAGGAATTAATATCCTTTAGCTAAAAGTGCATTTAGAGCTTCTGCCTTGTTTGGCTTCTGCATAAACATGGGAAACAATTTTGCTTTTTCTGATTCGGTCTTTCCTTCCTCTCTTGCTGATGAGACGTCAAGCAGGGATTGGTGGCAGTTCGACGTTCAATCGTTATTTTATTGTTTTTTTTTTTTTTTGGGTGTGAAAAGAGTGCAAAAATATAAAAAACCGAAGAAGGAAGGATTCCTTTCACCAAATCCACCCAATCAATCAATCTAGGTTCTTGAAATTTGATTTAATAACTACAAACACGTGACACCTTTAAAAGTTATAATAATTTTAGCCGTTAGATCAAAATTCAAGAACCCGTATTAAGTGATTTGATGGATTTGGAAGCGATCCGGAGAGGATCCCTTTCCAAAAAACCGATCAAACTCCACAAAAGAAGAGTGGGGATCCTCATCATACGTTATGCAGTAAAAAATCATTGTAAATTTTTTCATTTAAAATTGAATATAAACAATACCTGATAAAAATTAGTCGTACAATGTATGATGAACGAATGAGGTTAGAGTATCCCTGAGATCCCTACAAAAAGGATACGGCGAGGATCCTCTCTCACAAAAGAAATCCATCAAAATCCTCAAATGAAATCCAGATTCTACAAATCTTAACAAAATCTACCTCTTAAAAAAAAAATTTAAATCCTTCCAAATCCCAATTTAATTACGCCATCTTGAAAGCCCAATGCATCGGACTGTAGCATTTAAAAACCAATATTGTTATCTTTCTGTACACATTTATTTTTTTTTATACTTTGATTCTCCCCTAGTTCAAGTAATTTAACAAAAATAAAAAATAAAAAAAAAATCAAATGCATGGAAATCACTACCCAAAGTAAGAATATGTTACAAACATGACATTTCTGTTTGAACTGTGGGATGAAAAAAAAAATATGTTAATGATATCACTAAGCTTGGCAACCTCACCCACTTACAGGTAAATTGACCATGTGTTTCATCAATCACCACTAGTTAGCATGATGGACGGAACAAATGACTTGGAAGCACTACTATAGCTGAATTTTTCGTAAATAGGCGAGGCCAAGCATCCATTACTTGAGTTATATGCAAGTCACCCTAAATTGCATAATATTCACATTTTAAAGGAAGTTGAGGTTTTACCATAAAATCAAGTAACAATATTAAGAGTAACTCAACTTATTTATAAGTTATGCGGTGTCCCTCCTCCCATCAACGTGAGATTTATTCTCAACATACTCCACATGAGTTTTGGTAAAGGTATCCGTCAGGAAAGACAATTGTGCAAGTAAGTGGGAGACACTGTCTTTGTACAGCCACGAAATACTCAATTGTGGAAACAAGTGCATATATAGGATGTTTCTTCATTTGGTACCTAGAGTGCCCAGGATTTGGGTCATTGTTCAAAGTAGCCTTTCCTCTACGGAACAAAATACAAAGCCATTTCCATGCAAACAAATCCCATGAAATGGATTTTAATTATAAAACAGATTTGACTTTAGAACCAACCAAATATCCAACAACTAAATTGTGGTTTAATGAAAACAGTGAAATTAAAGAAGCTCAGTTCAGTTCATGATACAATATTACAATTACAAACACACACTTCTCTTCTCTCTCTCTCTCTCTCTCTCTCTCTCTCTCTCTCTCTCTCTCTCTCTCTCTCTCTCTCTCTCTCTCTCTCTCTCTCTCTCAATTAGCTTTAGGTAAATACCTTGTACTTAGCTCTATACTCTTCCTTTTCCACAATTACATTTACATGCACATAAGACGAGAACTTAGATGGAACGAGTTCATAGACATTAATAGTTTGGATCGTCATAGTGTTGATAAAACTGTTACATGAAAATCTCTCTCCATGTACATTGTACATAATAAAAGACAAAAAAAGTTGACCATCTAAATTAAGATTAACACTAATTAGTAACTATCATCAGCATGCTGATTAATTAACTCCACCAAGAAAAGCACCTGCGTTTGACATGAGAATAGTCACCTCACAACTGAAGCTCCACCGTTACCACCACCACTTGAACCACCACTCTTCCTACCCCCTCCACCTCCCATAGCCATATGGTTCTGCTGATACCCTCCACCAGAACCCCTCACGTGTCCCTGATGATGGTTATGATGACCCATCATCACCATTCCACCATAACCCTCGTTATACCCACCAACACTTATCCCAGAGCTGATACCGCCGCCTCCGCCACCACCAGACGCCGCACCGCCGCCTCCGCTACTACTATCTTTCTCTCTGCCACCGCCACCACCGCCCATAGTGCTCTTCTCGCCCTCCATCTCCCGATACTTTTGCAAATAAATCTTGAGCGGCTCCACGTACTCCTCGAACCCCAACGTCGTCATCGCCCATAGCAAATCGTCGCCGTTGATCGTCTTCCTCTTCTCCCTCTGGCACTTGTCTGAGGCCTCTCCTGTGACGAAGCTGATGAACTCCGACACGCACTCCTGCACCGTCTCCTTCGCGTCCTTTGATATCTTCGCGTTCGCCGGCAGCGCCTTCTTCATGATCCGGCTCACGTTCGCGATCGGAAGGAAGCGGTCCTGCTCACGCGCCGACAGCTCTCCGCTCTGAGCATGGCTTCTGTCGTTGGGACCTCCGGAGTCGTTGTCCGAATCAGCCATTCCGGGAGTTTCGGAGGGCTTCTTCGTCGGGGCGAGGCGCGCGAGAGAGAGAGAGAGAGAGAGAGAGAGACAGACAGACGCTGGTGTCCGTTCGATCTGGCGGTGTAATAACACATCCGCCGCGACACGTGGATATTTTTGTACCGTTTGTTTCTTGATAAGTTGCGGGTTAGGTGGGGGGTTTTGGGTTGTTGGATTAGGGCGTGGGACTATGATCTGGACGGATGTGAAATTGACACGTAAGCCGCTGTTTGTTTGGAGATTCTTCAGCCGGCCGCTGCGGCTTTAGCTCCAGGCTGTAGCCGAGTCGAACAATTTTTTTATTTTTTTTATTTTGGTCAAAAAGATAGAAATTTATTAAAACCGAGTAACAAAATTTACATTAGTTGCCAGAATATTAAATAAAAAATTCTGGCCAATCCCATACCAGAGGAGTTTGCCACCATGCTTGGTAGCAAACAAAATCATCTCATGAAAAGCAAAGTTACCATCCAGCGGAACAAACCCCAACTTTACACGGTCAAAATCCATAGCTAAAGAGTCCATATCAAACAACGCACCTTCTAATATTGCATCCCCTTCCATTTGTTTATTATCCATACAAATCAACGATTGTGAGTCGAACTAATTGAAAAGTGAGTAATATTTATAGTGTTGAATCTACTTGATCGCAGACGTAGTCTTGCCTTAGCCGTTAGTGAAAGTCGTGGCTAATGTGTAGATGTCATCTTTGCCAACAAAATATATGGACAATTTTTTTTTTTTTTTGAACAAAACGATATTATCAACGCTAAGGAGTAATATATAAATTAGTAATATATGTGGTTCAAATTTGTAATATATGAACTAGTAATAATGTGGTTCAAATTTGTATTTGGCGGGATTCAAACCTAAAACTTCACATGTAATTTACATGTGAAGAGAATACAATTATCGTATTATTAAGTGTCAATATATTATTTATTTTTATGCACAAAAAATTCTTATTTTCAATGGTTTCTCAACTAAGTTATGATTGAATACGTGCTTATATTTTATCCAATCCGATTTAACATCTAATCGAGTTGTACTTGTTAAAATGGTCTCATATCCTCTTTTAACCAGTTGGTTTTTCAGTACGATCAAATATCGTCATCTTTTGAGCTCGACTGTGGCACCAAAATCAACACATTCTTATAATAAAATGTTCAAAGCATTAGAGTATGTGAGGAATTTGTGAATGATAAAAAGATTATACGATCTAAAATCTAATACAAGCCTTTAATTAACAAATTAAGAATAATTTTTTAAACAGTAGCGAATTAAAAAGCAAAGTGTTTACCCATACAGAAAGAGTCAAACAGCAGAATTTGTCTAGCACACGAAGGAACATAGCCAAATCAAATAAAATCAGAGGCTTGCTGATTAATTCCCAAGAATAGCAATAGCATCAGCATAACATTTGCTATATGATCAAAGGAAAAGTTTAGAAATATTATTTGTGGATAGGATAAAGAGGTCTAAGGCTCCAAAGCTTCTGATCTAAGTCTAGCAGGAGATGAGAAGGAATCAATTTGGATAAGGTGCTATATGGGCATCCATGCCTCTTCTTCACTATGTGCCAAAGTAAAAACAAATGGCCATAGAATATACTTGAAACACGATTAAAACTAAGGTGAAAAGAGGTTATACTTGGATACTTGATATGAGAAGAGATAAATAGAAAGAAATATACACTTTGATGCACGTAATTATTCGAGAACTTGAGGTTTTATCATAAAATTAATTGACAATACGAAGATTAGTTTAATTACTTATAAGCACATGCAAGATTCATCCTCCCATTAATGTGAGATTCATTCTCAACAAGCCTCTTTACGCGTGGCAAATTTTCAAGTCTAGCACGTAAACAACACCAATAGGGTGATGTGGGGCATATGTAGCCGCTGCACTTCACACATTAGACAGCCTATTTTGATACGATGAAGAAGTTGACCTTTCACCATAAAACTAATTGGTAATATGGAGAGTAGCCCAACTACTTATGAGCATATGCAAGATCCCTTTTCCATCACAATATCTCTCGAAAATAACTGTAAACGAGAAATTCCTATGACAAATCAAACAAGAACACGTGTACAAAATAATATTTTTGTATTAATATAAATGTAGGGTTACAATCTCTGTTACAACTTTGATAATCTGATTCGATCTCTGGGTTTGTAAGATGTATGTGTAGGATTATTGATTCAAGCATTGTGATGACTTGATCTCAAACAAATGGATGCCACAAGGGTTTGGCTTGTGACATGGAAAAACCGGCACGTATAGTTATGCTTGATGGTTCTTCACCAGTGTGACAAAGAACACATAGAGCTTTCAGAGTCTTCTGAGTGTTTGGAATTTGGAAGTTTGGGAGTTCGAGTGTCTGGGTGTTTGGATGAATTTCTAACCTTTTCTTTGTCTTGGAGCATTGTATTTATAGGCTTTCCAAGTCTTGATTAATTAACCTTGATTGTGGACTTGATTAATTGACGAAATAACCAAGACTTGATTTGTGGCTTGGTTTGTGATTTGACTCCATCAATTAATATTTTATTTAATCAAATAAATCAATCTTCCCCAATTTGGTATTTTCATTTGATTTAAATTATTTTTTTTATTTGAATTAAAATCAATTAATTCATTTCCGTCAAATGTTGACATGTGTCTTTTTTTATAACTTGTCCAATTTTGATGAGTTATGTGCCATGTACGATTTGTGAAACACATGGTCTATGTCACGTAAGTCTTGACATGTCACATCCCAAACCCAACTGCGCCGTAGCACAATATTGTCCGCTTTGGGACCCGGCCACACCCTCATGGTTTTATTTTTGGGAACTCACACGAGAACTTCCCAGTGGGTCACCCATCTTGAGAATGCTCTCGGCCGAACTCACTGGCTTCGGGTATCCTAGGATGCTCTCGCATGAACTCGCTTAACTTCGGAGTTCCGATAGAACCCGAAGCCAATGAGTTCCCAAAAGGTCTCGTGCTATATGGAGGTGGATATGTACATATAAGGCATATCACCTCTCTCCGTTGGTCAATGTAGGATGTTACAATCCATCCCCCTTAGGGGCCCGACATCCTTGTCGACACACTCGCACCACATGGCAAAGTGGCTCTGATACCATTCTGTCACATCCCAGACCCCGCTCTGCCGTAGCACGATATTTTCCGCTTTGGGTCCCGGCCACGCCCTCACGGTTTTATTTCTAGGAACTCACACAAGAACTTCCTAGTGGGTCACCCATCCTGGGAATGCTCTCTCCTGAACACGCTTAACTTCGAAGTTCCGATGGAACCCAAAGTCAGTTGGTTCCCAAAATGCCCCGTGCAATGACATGTACATATAAGGTACATCACCCATTCTCCGTTGATCGATGTGGAATGTTACATGACATGTTGAAACTTAATGTGTTAATGAATGTTTATTTCACCGATATTTCGATGTCCGTAATAACGACTTCAACTCGTGGCAACTAAGAACTAGACCTTGTCAAATAGACTTGTGTTCTGAAGATCTGATCAAGTTCATAATACTTAGTTTGAAGATCTGATCCAGTTTATAATTGATAATTGTTGATGCAGTAATTGCATAGATGCTAATAGTCAACTCAATATCTAGTTACCGTATATATATTGATTTAACAAAAGGATATTAATCTTCATCCTGAAAATATTGTCCTCCAGAATCCACCAAAGCAATAAAAGGAGATCTAAAATGGTGACCAGTGATGCCATAGAGGGTCAGAGACAACAAAAAGAAGCTGAGAAGAAAAGGAAAAGCAAGTGGAATTCCAGCAAAATAAAATGTTTTTAACCTTCAATTAAACTTTTAATAGTGTGCATTAGGAGAAAAGAAAAGGGCCATAGTACAAGTGCTTTGATGGGAATCCAAAGCTTGTCAAAAAGCAGAAGCAGCCTACTGTGCACAACAATATAACACTAATTAGCCAATTGCACATAAGCAGAACGTTAATTTTAAGCTTTATCTTCAGGATTTCGATTGTCTGTTCTCCTCCATCTCATCCTTTTTCTATTCTTTTTTATTTAAACGGTCAAGGTTAAGTCATGTTAACATTTTATATTGATTTTTTTAATAGAAATAATAAAACAAAAAGCAATAAAAATATAAAATGTTGACGTGACTTAACCGTGATCGTTTAAGTAGAGGAGATGAGATGGAGGATGGCAGACAATCCAGTCCTTATCTTCAACCAAATCCATGGAGGATCAAAAACATAAAAATGGCCATAAAATTAATTTAAAAAAAAAAAAAAAGAAAAAAAAAAGGCAACTCTCAAGCTTCTATCTCAAACCTTGAACACTTGATGGATCCCATGGATAAGTCGATTTCGAACAAATTTTCTTCCTCATTCATCTCATTGATCTCAGCCAAGAGCTCCAATAGAGTATGCTGCTTAAAAATGGACTGGTGTGACAAACCTGGCATTTTCTGCTGCAGGTTAAACACTGAGTCATGCTCCTGGTGATCGACATAGTATCCGCCCGGGAGGGCTATTTCGATGAGGCTATCCTCGTCGGAAATTGAGCCGTCTGAGAAATCGGGGCTCCGAGCCACATTTTCTCCAAACGACCAGTCTACTAATTCAGAATCATCACTGGTTGATAGGTGATCAACGCATTCACTTTCTGATATCAAATCTGGTGAGCTCAGTGGTGCTTCTTGAGCATCCTTCTCTTGTGGGGAAGCACTTTGATGTTTTGATACTTCTTCCAAGCAAGGAATGAACATTTTTTCTTCAGCTAACTTATTCTCAACCCGATGAAGTGGTTTTTGCTTGGAATATGTGAAAACAACAGTCGAGAAAATCAGCACCATAGTTGTTAGGAAGATGGAGAGGAATCCAAACTCCATTAATCCAACCAATACAAGGAATGGAGCAAGAACAAGCAACAATGGCGGTGGGAATCTGAAGAACCACAAAGGCGTAGGCATTTGATCTTCAAGTAGGTTTTTCAACTCTATGAATTACTCAAGCCTGAGCAAGTAAATATTGGAAGGAAAAATTAGGGTAAGTGGAGAGAAAACTTTCCCTTTTGTTGGATTTGAATATTGTACAGTAAATATAAGTTGGTAGAAATGTGTACAGAAGAATACTAAAGGGTAAATTGTGGGAACAAAACTATATATTGCAGAAAGCTGGTAGTCTGCTGTTTTCAACTCCAGTATAAGCGAAAAAAATAGTAGGTAAAAATCAAAATGAAAAAGCCACAGGAGTTAGCCCAATAGCAAAAGTGGGTAGAGTGCTAAGTAGAAATTAATAGGCTAGAGATCTAGAGTTCGAAATCCTCTTTAGTAATAATAAAAAATAATCAAAATAGGGCAAAAAAAATGAAAGGCTCAAGGTTTTGGGCTTTCCTTACTCAAGTATTTTCAACAAAACCCTAAAATGGGAAAGTGTTGAATTGGGCATTAGAAGCAGAAACTGCAGATGATATAAATAGTTGTATGAAAAAGGTATGAACAGGAAGAAAGTATAGATGGAACTAATTAAGCTGTTATCTGTGCTTTGAGATTTGAGGAAAGAGGAGGCAGCAAGTAAATTAATTCAACTAGTTTGCAAAGAGGAAGCAAGTAGGTACGGAGAACTCAAATATATTATGTATTTTGTTATTGAAGGGTTGTTCTCTCATCACAGACCCAGAACACAGTTCCCAAGAGTCCCCATTGAACCTAAAAAACTGGGTTTAAGTGTTTTCTAAGTATTAATTACCATACTTATTTTCTATTGCACATCACATAATCTATAAATTTTGTCTAAAAAATTAATTTATCTAATATTATTCTCTTATTAGTAATTAAATTAGTGAACCAAGATTGATTAGTATATATTTCTCTCTTCATCAACTCCAAGATTAATGGATAGTGGAAGTACTGTACCTGACTTTGATCAAAGATAATGCCCATTTTCTCCTCTAAACCAGCCACACAAACAAAGCATTCACAGAAATTTGTTTTTCTTGATGATGACCAGCTGCTTTGTTCAAACTAAGCTCACTCAAAACACCCACTTTTTGCAGATCGCTTTCACACTTTTCTGGGACTTCATCAACAGATACCATTTTCTTTTGCAGCAATTTATAGGAAGAGTAGCTACCACTCAAATCATGCCTTGGGGCAGTAACATGAATCAAGCCTGTACATTGAACATGCAAAATCCCAAAAGAGTAGCTGACATGCAAAATTTCACAAAATCAGTAGCTGCTGGTCTAACGCTAGTGCCCTTCAGTGGCCTTCATGAACAACAGTCATAGATTCGAGTCTGTGGCTACAGGGCCAGTTGCGCAAGGAGTTATTTCATCCGTGCCAGCTCAACCAAAGTCATTTGAATTAAGCAGGTAAGGGGCTAATTAAAGCAAAAAGACATGGTCATCACTTAGTCTTAAAATGAAAAAGAGAAGAAAGAAAATGTGGTAGATAATTCCTAGTTGATAAATGGCCTGAAAACATTAAAAGCGATATCTTCTGCAATATGTTCCACATCTATTAGACATGTATGATCTCTAAATAGTTTTATTAAATTATTAAATTAATACAAACATGAATTTAGTCAAGTTGGCTAGAACAATATATGTTGCACCTGAATTCGAATCCATCTCCTGTAATTTATTTAAGTTTAGTGTAACATTCGTTGTTTGTCAACTAAACTAGTAAAGTTGGAGACAAATAGTATATGTCCACTTTGTGTCCAATACGCATGGTTTGTCGTCCAATATGTATGGTTTGTTCCTTGGCTTCTGAAACCTTTTGGTAGGAGGGCTGACATATATATGTGCATACATATGGATCGTACATTTACTCGTCAAAACGATTTGGAATTAAATGCCATTCAGGGAATCACCTGGCAATATATAGCTGTTTTGTGGTGATCTCTCCATTCCATGTTCAGTCCTATACTTAAGTTGCAAGAAAATTCTTGTAAAACATAAGTAAATATAGAAAAGAAACATATACGTACACTATTATCAAATTCATTAACACTGTTTCTAGTAGTAAAATCAAGGGATAACTGGATATAAATTCAATTTTGTGAGCCATTGGTAGGATTAGTCCACTCCATTGAAATAGGTCCAATAATTGAGATTCCACGTATGCTTATTTGTGGTTTATACCATATTTACCCCTTAGACTTATGAATTATAGTAAATACACAAAATTTCTTAATTATGGGATTATTTGTGGTTTAACTAATTCCTTAATTGTAGGATTAGCTATAGGCATATAATCACCTCACCCCCCCCCCCAGTCCGTTTCATCCCCCCTCCTTCCCTTCTTCCAAACAATTCTCTCTGTTAGATCATGGAATCAATCCTCCTCTTTTTTGTCTCTTCTTTTCATGGGTGATATTTTTGTGTTCTTCTCTCTAAATTCGTTCCTTTAATGGAGATACATCATATCATATTTATATTTCTATGTTCCGCTTCTTCCAATACAATAGGTAGTTTATTTTTGTTTTGCAGGTAGATTATATCTGCTTTGTAGGTATAAAGCATTTTTCTTCCTATACAATAGGTAGTTACTAGATTATATCGGTTTTGTTTTCTTCATAAATCGTAGGTAGTTACTAGATAATATTTTAGTTTAAATATTTAAATATTCAAAATTTAAAAACTGAATAAATGATAAAAAAAATTTAAAGAAATTAAATATATTTATCTGAAGGGGCAAAATTGATATCAAAATATGTAATTAGATAACTGGACTCAGTCCCAAAAACTACCTATGTTTTTGGATCTAGATACAAAAACCCCTAAAATCAAATCCTTATGTACTAAATTTCTTGGTAGAGTAATGCTAGGGAGACTAAATTTAGGGACTAAAATTTGAAACTAAATGATGTGTCATCAATAGAAATGAGCATGTCTATCAATGTTTAAATAACAAATCAATCATCAATTTACATGTCATTTAATTTCTAAAATTTGGTCTCTCAATTTAGTCTGCCTAGCATTACTCTTCCTGATAATTAACAAATAGGAAAATAATTATTAAACTTATAAATAATAATTCATTTATCCTTGGTTTTGATAGATAAGTATCATAAGATAATGTTGACATTCTTGGTGTTGGTGATGCGTATAGCTTTATTAGTGTTAATAGTGGTTCATACTTTAATTTTATGTTTATTGGGTGTTGTGGCACTAATGATGATTTTTCAAGTGTGATTTAACCATATGGGCCATCTATGTATCTCTACCAGCAATACATGCTTGCCCCACTTTCCCTATATGCCGGTGGGACGAAATGGCCGTAGTCGACCATATCAAACTGAATCATCAGCCGTCTCAAACTGATCATCGATTGACGCTTTTTTCTGGGTTAAATTCACTTTCATTGCTTAAACGTGCCTTTTGGTATGCCACAAGTGGCATTGGAAAGGGGAAAGCAAGCAAAGACCTCAACAGGAGGAGTGTAGATTCTTAACCATGTGAACCTAGCTAGTATGATTCGTCATGCATCGCTTGTGAGAGTGTGAGGGATTTGTATGACCGACCAGACTTTCATCCATGCCATGAAATCATTGTCTTAGGGGTTGAATTTTACATATACGCAAGCTTTGCGTTTTATATATAACCATACATATATATACCCTTGAGAAAAATGCTACCACTGTAAGTCTGTAAGGTTAATTAATCTATTAATTCAAGAAGTGATTTCCACACGCCTATTTTCTTCTCATGCACATTTTTATTTTATTTAATGTATTGAGTATAAAAGAGAATCACGAGACATAAATAAATAACGGAGTGATGAAGAAGAAAAATAGTATGCAATTTAAAAGCAAAAACCTCCAGCATACATTTTAAGAATTACAACTTAGGTTTCCCTTGATGAGAAGCATTATTCGTTTTAAGAATTACAACCCCTTGTTTCATTAATTAGTTTTTTTATGAACATGAGCATTAAGCAAACCATGCATATATTTCGTTGTGGACCACTTGAATTCATCTGTCTCCCCCATTTTCCTTGAACCTCCAACATCAACGTGAAGATTAAAACGAAAGTCAATATTGTGCAAGCAGTCAACAAATAAACTAAGGGCAACGAAGATGGTGCCACTTACCGCCCATTTGCACGTTGGTAGCTGTACAATAAAGCAGTAGTTTCACATGTATGAAAACCCTTATTCCTAACTACAAGACATTGAGAACAACCTTGATATTGTTAATAACTTGTTTCAAATAAAAATGTGTTTGGGGGTTTGAGAAGTTTTTGTCTTGACCGCACTGGTGTTGGAGATCTGTGTAACTTGAAGAATGTTTGAGCTGTGAGCCTGTGAGTGTGGAGGGGACCATATCTAGGTCTCCATGAATGTTTCATCGTAATTCTATAAAAAATTTCGGATAATACAATCTTGCTTGGAATCCAGAGCCACACCTACAACTCTAGTACTAGCTTAATTATACATGTATATGTTAACATCTATAGTTTTTGCTTCTAAATTAAAAGTCAAAAGTGGATCCGAATGCTAGCACATAAACTGCTGATTAAGAGAAGTAAAACAAGAAAGATTACGACGTACAATATTTGCTGAAGTTCCTGAGTGAGGAAGAACTTTTCGGTTAGGTATTTGCAAAATCAAAATTTGTTTGTACTGTATATAATTGGCCCTGAAACTGTTGAACACCAGTTACCTGAAAAGAACCATGAACCTACTAAAGCATCCCCACTACTTATGCATCTCTGCCAAAGCACACAAACGAACCCCATGCAAGTGGAGTCATGACGCGTGGCAATCACTTATTGGATATATATGCCCATAAAACTAATAGGAGAATTTCCTTCAACTTGGAGATCAGTCATCACGGCGCAACAAGTGACAACACTACATTAAACTTAGTCAAATCACACGGTTAACTCAACAAAATTCCTCCAATTTCACATTTATAAGGGATAACCTCTATTCTCTTTCGAATGTAATTGTTCATGTCCATCAATATATTTTCACTAACTATACCACACCGCTCGTTAATCCAATTTCGTGCATCAACAAGTAGTTCATCACAAAACCTCCGAGTTCTAGAGTCTCCACAATCTTCGATTGAGGAGCGTTGCCAAGGAAGTGTCTTCACTGAGCCTTGTTCTAGAGTCGCCAAAAGTATCATTTTCATGTAGCATCTCCACCTACTGACCAAATCACACCTGCATGTGTCATCTTTATCACATTGTTCCTTAATTCAACTTCCGTGCATCAACATTCATTACAATAACCAATTCAATTTATTCTATGATTAAACGCAAATATTCAAAATGAAATTGTTGACCTTGTTAATAAGTTTTGATTATCCGTATGTGAAACAGCCATGTATGTTCATTCATATCTCTCTCTCTCTCTCTCTCTCTCTCTCTCTCTCTCTATCAAAGCGAAAACGTTGTGCTGTTGACCAGAAACTCCATTTATATGTATGAAATCCTTCTGTAAAATTTTAAAATGCTAGTCACATGATCAATTTTTCAAAAAATAAGGGATTGGATGTGATTATTTTCATTTCATTTTCGTCTACATATTACTCTTAGTTAGCTTTTCTATGTACCCAATTGACATTTAAAGCGACTTCACGGCCAACTAACATTCATGTTCACACAATTTTTCAAGGTTGGTTTGCGGTCGATTTTGTAACTGATCTATTTGAATTTTCATTTTCATCCTTGCACATCCATGTGGCAATGAAATGGAACACATAACTATTTGTGATACATTTATGTGAATGATGAAAATTTGAGAATCCATCTCTCACGTAGAGTGAACGGATTATTGTTGACGCATTGTACGTGAGACTTACACACCTCAACAATTAGAATTAATCTTTATGCGTGTTGATTTAGAACTATAAATTGCATGGACGGCTAAGATCTGCCCACACACACGCTTAGTGTGAAAACTCCTGTATTTGCAATTTGTTGATATCATTTTATGGCCCAAGAAAAGGAGGTTGATATCAATTTAAGTGACAAGCAATTTGTGACGCAAACTCATATGGGGTATTTTTATATAGACTATATAGATACTGATCCCCGGCATCAGATTCTCTTCCTGTGTCACATCTCTCGCCTTATGTGATGCCCACTTCCTCCAATCTCCCCTCTTTCATGTGTCTTTGGCTTATTAAAAAAGCATTGGGGGTTACTCCAATCATGCTCAACTACCACCTTAGCTATAATATAGTGGGCATATAATTCGATTATTTGATTGGTAGGTTATAGACAAGTGACATGGAGAGAGATCTAAACTCTTAGAACCATTGTAGCTAGGAAGAGCCTTTTGTGCAATAGGGTGGAGTGTTCAATAATTTGCTAATAAAAAACAACCTTAGGATGCCATATTTTTCAAAAATTTCATGTGACTGATTTGATTTCTTACCAACACAAGTGCCGGATGTACCAAACTTTGAGTGAATCTCGATACGGTGTTGTGTTTTTATGTGATTTATGGTCACATCTAAATTGGTCCAACAATTGACATCAAACACGCACTTAAACAATTGACGCTAAGTAATTTTTTATTATGATTTGTTTAACCCTATACTTGATTCAATGCATGGGACATAAAAACCACCAGCCAAACGTGGATTGGTAAAGCCAATGGGAAAGTAAGCAGGTGAAAAGTTAATCACCAAATTAACCAAATAATAATGTTAATGGGGGTTTCCAAGTGGCCTCAACTATACAAGACAAGGGAGTTAAAACTCGAAGATAATTTTTTATTTTGCTGTGGTTGGGAGGTACAGAAAGGTTTACACTCGGCTTTAATTTGATTTTCTGTTTGATTATGTTTAGTTCGTTCTTGTGAACTTTAATTATGTTTTCTTAAAATGTAAGGTCAAAATGCTTTCAAAAGGTACATACAAATATTGGAAAACTCAAGTTGTTAATAGCATTTTAAAAACTTTTGTATAGTAAAAAACATGGATGGAGAAAGAGTGCATGACGTTTTTTTTTTTAGTAGATAATATTCTACTTTAATTGATGGGGATTCAATGTAAGACACGATCGTTTAAAAGTTCAGAGAAATATACACACCAAGGACCATAGGAATGCATGAAAAATAGTTTGGAAAGTCTATCGGAGACCGTATAGAAGTCTGGTATGGAACCCCATAGTGTACACTAATGTGCTCGACAAAATGCTTCACTCGACATTTCTAGATAGCCATAATCGGTGTATATTGAGGGCAATTGATAGGCTTCGTAGGGATTCTGAACAAATAGCATCATGCCTCAGTAAGGTTCCTAGGCATAAATCTACATACATACATACATACATACATACATACATGTCAACAAAGGTCGACAGATGCTAGCTGGAATTTTGGCAACACCTGGCAAGTGTTAGCAAAATGCGGTAGATTTCGACATAAATCTGTAGGGTTTTCGCTTGGTGCTTAACAAAATGCCTCTACGAAGCTAAGTGTACTGTCCTCAATAGACTTGTCATTTTCAACCTGACCCGACCTGACCCATTAAATCAGTATTCGGGTGAGTGATAAACAGGTCGGGTGGTTAACAGGTCATTTTGGGTGAACTTGCAAAACCCATTAACCGCCAGTTAACCTGTTAGCGTCAGTCACTGGAAACACTACCTAGTGTTCCTCCTCCAGCTGTATCTACGGCATTCAGTATGGACACCAGTCATTCTCTGTCGGATTTTTCAAGAAGGAACTGCTGAGCTTAATGCCGATGGATATTTTTTACGGGTTTTTGTTCAGGTGCGGCAAAAACAATCAGGGACTCTTCGTGGGTGCCGCCTGTTTGCTCGGTCTCGACAGGGATAAAATCTCCCTTGTCGAGTAATCTGCCTTGAAATACAACCGATTCTTCTCCTACTGCCTCCCCTCCAAATCCAACGGCACTGGATACCTCGGCTTCGACAAAGGTGGCAGATCTTCCAACGCCATGAAATTCGTACCCCTCGCCGACGTCTCATGTAATACCCTGAAAATTTTAAATATGTGAAAAGAATCAAGAATTTATATTAATTCACATGAGTTTCGTTTTAAATTAAACTAGTTATGAAGTTTGGAATTTGGAATTTGGGAATTAATTATTTAAAATCCATAGACCTTTTGAGGTCACAATTTATATTTTTGAATAGAGCTCGATCTCACAAACATGTAGGCGTAAACCATTCGTGAAACGAAGTTATAACTAAGAAGTTATTAACGTTTAAAGTTGGGGATAAATTGGTAATTTTATATTTCTTTAGAAGGCCCCAGAAAATATGGAGCCGTGTGACATGCCACATGTGTGGCTGGGATGAAAAGAAAAAAAATGAAATGGATGGTTGGGATTGAAAGAAGAGAAGAGAAAGGAGAAAAGGAAGGGAGGAATAAGGGGAGATGACCAATAGGGGAAGAGAAGGAGGAGGGGAAAGGAGAGAACTGAGAAACGAAGGATCGGGAACCGGCCCTTGGTGACCCGACCCGATCGACTCCCTTAGCATTTTCCGACGGGTTTTCACCCATTTTTCCGGTGAATTGCCTCAAACCACCACTTAGAAACCCTTCCATAACTTCCCCCCTTCCTTTTACACCTCAAAAATAATGAAATTTGGTCTTGAATTTGGAAAGAACACACCCGTGGGTGCCGACCCTTTTTGCTCGAAATCTACCAAATTTGAAATGATTTGGTTCAATAACCACCACCATGACTACCCTGGAGGTCTAGAACAAAGCCCAAACCATGGTAGGGGCGGTGGAGCACCGGAGGTGACGATTTGAGACTACCCATTTATAGGGTTTCAGACGGGTTCGAGGCAAATTGAAGCCTTTCCAGGCCAAATTAAACTTGGCCACATGTATAAAGTTTGCTCTACACTTTGAGATCTTCTTTTCTGAAATTTTTGAGAATTTTTAAAAATAGTTGAATTTTCCGGCGAGTTGGAGCGGCCGACCGCCACCTGCAGCGGCGCATGGCTAAGACGACGATATTGCTATTTTTAAGCTAATTACAATGTTCTGAGTCCATATTTATAATATATTTGATGTGAATCAATTGTTTGGACTTAATTTATGTAGTGTTAGTCACTTTAAAATGTGAAGATTATGAAATAGAATTTAGAATGTGAACTACGAATTGCTTGATCCTTATTTAGGGTACGTAGACAATCTAACGAGACGTTAGATGTAGCCATAAAAAAAGTGAGATTAAATACTTCGAGAATAAATAATAAGAATGAGATTTGATTTATAAAGGAAGGTGGTGACAAAGTGTGAAAAGATATAGTGCATTTGATATAGAAATTGTAATTATGGACCATGGATGGAACCAAGGCCTACAAATAAAGAAACATGTTAGGTGGTAGCTAATTAATCGAGGTAAATCTTTTGTTGAACGATTGTGCTAAGAGAAGGAAGTTTGATCAATAACTTGAGTTTTATCCTTATGCCTTCGTAATCAAATGTTGGTTACAAATTTATTATGAGGGTTCGTGAAATTAAAGTGTTTAATTGGGTTTAATGGTAAGTTAACTAAACAAGAGTGTAGTTCGGGCCTATCACTAATACTATTATTTCCCGAAATAAAGCAATATTTCGGGGCTGGGGCGTGACATCTCCCAATGCGTGAAATTTACACAGGCCTTCAGCAATGGCCTGGAGGATGGCAGGTGGCTCGAGCTCTTCGAACGTGTTGACGATGATTCCTTTGGACTTGGAAAGATATGAGAAAAAGGAGAGGAAGTCCCAATAAGCAAGGTCGTCTCGGTCGAGCACCGGTTCGATCATGTGTATAGCCTTCAGAGGAGATTTCTGTCCGGGGAATTCGAAAATGGTGTCGGTGAGGTCCTTTGAACTCTGGGTGGTTTGTTCATGGATCTTAGGGAAATACAAAAAAGCAGCCAAAGCTGCGGCCTAGAAGAGGTCAATGATGAAGGCGCGGACGACGGGTGAAACGAAAAAAGAAAAAATAAAATTGTTAACGGGTGAAATGGATGATACGTTAGCTTAACAGATTGAGTTTGAATGACCCGTTAAATTAATGAGTCGAGTTTCACTCGATCCATTTACAGGTCTAGTCCTCTGTCATGGTTTTAGCAATTTTCTGGCCGAATCAAGGCTTCGAGTCCGAATTATCCATGTAGCATGAGTACCCTTAGCATGTTGAGATGAGTCACTCCTATGTAACCTAGAAATCGGGAATCCAGCACGAATCAATGCTGGTAACAGTTCAACGATGATTTTTTTTTTTTTTAAGTGCTGATAAATAAGAGAAATTAGAATTAAATGCCTCATCTTAGATTTTTCTAGATTAAACTTTTGTTATTTTTTAATTTTTTATTGAAGTGCTTTCACTTTTGATTGACCCTATATTCCACCTATATTTTGAATTTAAGTGCTTTCTAAATTCATTTAAAATTAGTTTCTATGTCAAAAATTTCGTCAAAAATATTATATTTTTATGAGATCTCATCCATTTCTCAACTAAAGGATTCAACTATATCTACTCAAAGTGGAGATCAATTCACAGAATTTAATAACCAGATATGTCTAAAGTATTTAAGAAATTTCAATATTTCTAAATTATTTGTAAATTTGTTTTATACATAAATTTTCTATAACTTTTTTCTTAACTACGGTAAGTATTGTGGTTAATGGTTATTTCTTATTCTTTATCTTCAAATTGAAATGTACTAACTACTAACATAATTTATTTTCAAATTGAAACATACCTAGCAAAATTGAAATGTATTCACACCAAGTTAAAATGTATCCTTACGGAATTGAAATGTACCCATGTCAAATTGAAATGTACACATATTTGATTCAAAACATACATATATTTATTTATTTTTTTTTTTTTATCAACAACACACCGGTGTTTGACTAATGATGATTTTATTGCAACTAAAAGTGTATAACTTAGGATACTACTATTCACACACCCAGATTTACCTTTTACACACTCATGTTATTTTTTTGTCATTTATCTTCTTCAATTTATACAACCCGATGGCAGATAATTGATAGAAGTGTGAGAAATAAAAATAAGTACGTGAATAACACTACTCAATTAAAAATAAAGTTATACGGCACATTAAATAGTGTGGCAATTGTTTGGAAAATAGAGTCTTTTTCTATGACTTAAATTGTTCCTCATTTAAAGGAAGCAGTTCAATCTGAAACTACAAATACACAAGGATGTTAAGTCAAAAGAATGAGAAGGGTGACCCCATAAGCATTAATCAAGAGTGTTATTCCAGAAGTGCCAAGTTCACGCTAAACCCTGATATCAAAATCAAACAGCTGACACACCTTAGACGGCACAACACAACACAACAAGGCAAAGTTTTCTGCTTTTTTAAGACAAAACAGAAGTTCTCCACCGTTAGATCTTCCAAACTCATTGGAGAATCAAATTCACTCGTCCTTGTCCACTGTTTGCCTTTCCAACAATCAGAGCCAGGGATTTGAGAGAGAGAGAGAGAGAGAAGAACAGAGCATCTTGTGCTGTCCATTCCATTAGACATCCAGAAAAGAAATCAGAAAAAATGCAAACTTTGCTTGAGTTTCTGTCAATTCCTGATTCGGTTTCTTGTGTGTTTGCAACCTGCTTTAAGAAATGGGTAAGTCACCAAACTCAAGTCAGTCACTTGGGTTTCTTTTCCTTTTGCTTTTTCTGTTTCTCGGTTAGTTGGTTCTTATTCCTTTTTTGCTTTTCCAAGCTGCATCAAAGAATATAGGATTTTTTTTATCCTTTCTGATTTATGGTCTGTTCTTTCCTTTGAATTTGCATGAGTCAGATGAAAACTGAACTGGGTTTCCTTTGTTTTCAGTAATGGGGAATGCCAGTGGTATCAGAGATGGTGGAGAAGGCCCTTCTCGCGTTAACAACTTTGAAGAGTACAGTGATGGATATTTAGAAGAATCCATGGCTCAGACTCCATCTCTTTTATTCACTTCCCAAGTGAGTTCCATTATGTTTTTCAAACTTTGAAGAATTTCATGTGTGCGTGCTTTTGCTTTTTTGGCATCAGAAAAGTTTGAAGAACAGTTTCTCAAATGGGAATCTCTATTTCTTGGTTGTATTTCCTCGTTGCTTCCTTTGACACTCCTCCCTTTTTTCTGTTTATCGAGTCGCACACTTGATATATTCAACCCAAAGGCTAGAAAAACTGCAAGGAGGAGTGCAGAGAAAAGAAGAGTGCAGAAATCACTAGTCTTTCTTTTACTGTATGATCTTTTGACAATTACTAGGTAGATTTTTCAAGTTGAAGAAGCAGCGGACTAAGAATATTTGTCAAAAGATAACCAGTAAAAAAACACGTAGGATTTGACATTTCATTTCACCTTAATCTAGCCACTAGTTGTTTGATCAATGTCTAAATGAAATGCACTTATGGGTGTAAATTATTTCCTTATTGACTCTATTTAGGATAAGTTGGAATTTTTATTCACCTGTGATATCTGGTTCAAGAAAATGTCTCCTTCTGCTAAAGTTCAATATCTCTATTTTTTTTCCAAATAGAAAAATAATTGCAAGTGAATTTGTTCCATTTCAGATACTTGTCTTTCCACTAGTATTTACTGTGTTGTATAAAGGCAAACAAAGTTTTCCCTGCATAAAACGCACATGAACACAGGGATGGAGCTCTCTAAATTTTATCTGCATTTGCAGTATCCTGGGGAACCTTTACCAAGACCTACCGAGGCATTACCGCAACATATAGTATTTAATCGTAATGTACACGATGAGAAATTGATGCGGGCGAAGATCTCATGGAATCACGGTGGCGGGCAAGTTGCTATCACAGGATCATGGGACAATTGGGAGACCAGGTACTAAATTGTATAGCAGTTCCATCCTTAAATTTCCAAACTTTGTTTTCTGTTTTTAGCATCATCATGCATAACTTTTATCTCCTTATATCAGGGAGCTCTTGCAGAGTATAGGCAATGATTTCTTTATCATAAAGTTGCTTCCATCAGGTCTCTACCAATACCGATTCATTGTTGACGGGTGTTTGATGTGTGCTCCAGACTTGCCGTGGGTTTACGATAATTCTGGGAGTGCGTATAATATCTTGGACTTGCAGGTAATGTTATGACTTGTAATGTGAATGGTTTCTGGTCTACAAATGATAAAACTGTTATGTCCTCGTACTAGGCCTCTTGCTCACCGCCCTTGTTTTCATTACCTATACAGTCTTACCTTTCACTTAGGATAAATACCAAAGTTTTTAGGGATGAAGTCTTAGTTTATTTGAGTGGAGATCAGCAGTCTTAGGAGCAAAGGAACAGCTTTTTGATCATTTTACAACTTCGTACCAGTGAGAACTACACCGTAAACTATAAAACATTGTATTTGTTCATACCATTCAATTCACCTTAACTCACTCTCTCTTGCACTGAACACCTAGCGCAAGATTACCTACTTTGATTCTCAGCATTTTAGTGGTCAGAACTTCTACGCTACTTGAAAGCGAAATGAATCTTCTGCATCACCATGTTGGGATTTCTACTTGCTTTTACTTGCACCACAGGATGACCTTATGAATATTCACCTAACCCCTTATGATCCTACCCTATATTTGAACCCCAAATTTACCAAAAGAGAATATGCACATAATTTCCTGATCGTATGTGGCACGTCCATTTTCTTAGGACTTGTCAGTCCATTGTCAATCCGCCTTGCTGATAACATTTCTTCTGCACTTAGCAGATGAAATTTAATTTTTTTTTCCTACCTTTGCACTCTCTAGGAGTATCACTTTACTTCATTCTATTATAGATCAGTTGGATTATAGAAATTGAGGAAGTCTTCATAAGTGCTTTTTTCTAAAGCTCTTTTCATGGCCAAGTGATTTCACTCCTAAAATGCTCTGCACAGGAATGTATTTCAGAATTGCCTCAGCATCTGGAAAAGTTCGAACCTCCTCCATCTCCACCTTCAAGCTACGACAACAGACTCTTAAGCGAAGATGATTTCAGTAAACCTCCGCTGGAAGTACCCCCACAACTACAAGAATCATTTCTAAACAAGCCATCATCCTCCAACAACGGTGACCAGTCATTACCAATGCCTCGTCCTTCACAATTGAACCATTTGCACATACAGAACCAAATTGGCGGCGAGTTTTTTGCACTCAGCGCTACACGTAGGTTTCATACAAAGTTTGTCACAACGGTGTTATACAAGCCACTGAGAAGAACAAATCAGTAATTTTTTGTATCTTTATTTTGTGAGGAGAAAATATTTCATAGATGTAATATTGTTTAGAAGATTGCTGTGACTTACTAGGGTTGAGAAACAGTTCATGTAACCCATGAAATTTGGACGGTTTGCCAAAATGTAATGGAAGTGTTCGTTTTGTATTATGATGTGCAACTTTTAACAATTTATGCATAATGGCGACTCGATGTTTAGTTTCTATATCCTTCAACTGGACCGCGAGTCGCTGCCAAATATATATCAAAAACTGCAAGTGTATTTCCCATCTACGAGCCAAGAACAGTAACAAAAGTACTCAACTGAGTCTATGATTAATATATATGAGAAACTCATAACATATACCAAACAAATGGTGAAAAAGGCCGGTGCTTGTAGAATTTAATGACACGTACCATGGAAGTGGAATCCTGAAAAAAAAATAAAACTATGCATGCAAAACATTTGAGAACTCAAATGGTTTAAAAACTCGTGTTGCGGATTGCTGCTCCTCAGGCTGCAGTTGATCGCAATCGGTTATCACCGAACTGGTACCTTAATCCAGCCATTAGCAAAACCAATGGCCAAGATTACAAAAGGGGTTGACATGCCAAATATGATGATATATGGAAGGGGGGTCATCATGGGATTTTCACCTTCCCTTTCTCCTGCTGTTTGCCAGTACATACAAAATTGCATACAGTCAATTCCTCTTAGTTTTCTTTATTTAAGCGATATTGGGAGATGGGAGATTTGAACTCGGAGCCTCGGGTGCAAGGTGAATGTTAACTGATGAAGAGTGGAAAACTTACTGCTCTGGTTCTTGTTCTCTAGTTATGAACTTTTTCTTCCCTGATCCCTTATTGACTTCTCCGTCTCCACCACCTAACACCATTGAGAGAAACTTCAAAACTTTATGAAGTTGGATAATTTAAATTTAAATGTAGGTAAAATAAATGAGAGAGAGTATTTTCTTACCTAAATCTGCATGAATCTTGAAACTGTGCGGCCTCCTCTTGTGTGAAATGGGAGTGAAAGAAGAAGGATATAGTGGCGGCAACGGGGTGGAGGGGGATAGAAATATGGTGGTCGGAAAATAGAGGGCTAGCTTGGCAGCCATTTTTGTGAGAAGTGTGAGCTCTGTGTTGGCCATCTCTTGAGCATCACAAATATATGTGAGTGGTTTTGGATATGGGGTGTGGTGTGGTCACAGTGGAGACAGATGCTCAGTTGTGCATACTAACCTTATCTAACCTCTCTCTCCCCCCACCCCCCCCCCCCCCCCCTTTCTCCCTCCCTCTCCTCTCTCTCCTCTCCATATATATATTTACATGACCAACGTGCCCCAAGACCCAAGTCTAACTTCAGGTGACCCATTTTCACACAATAATTTCTCCTCACGAAGACTCGTTTGAGACTACTTATATAGAAAGCATGATCTCAAAGCACTTTTAAGTTTTTTTCTGTCAATTATAATCAAAAGCGTTTTAAACCTTCTACAATACACAAACAATCGCTAAAAGTAGTTCAAATAACCATAAATTGCAATCATGTATATGCATGTATGAAGATACAGTTGGAAACTTTGAACTCCAATAACCATAAAATTGCACTCGTTTGAATACATGTATGAAAGTAAACTTGGTGCTTTAGTGAGGTAACTTGTTTTTTCTTTATTTCTTTCAGAAAATTAGAGCAATAGTTTATGATCTTCCACTCAATTGTATTCAACTTACTAAGGGTTCGTTTGAAAATACTTTTAAAAAGACTGAAAGCGCTTTTAGATAAAATGTTTTTAGGTTCCAAAAGAACTTGAAGTGTTTCATATGTGCTTCTTTTACGAAACATTTTAAGTGTTTTCAAAATTAACTTGTATTTTTGCTAAGGATTGATTTCAAAATTATTTTCACTACAGCTTTTAGTGATTTTAAAAACATTTCCAAATAAATTATGGTACTAACATTTAACCCAAAAAGAGAAAAAAATACCTAACCAATTCTACCAAGTTGACACAGCCATGGCCTAACAATTGCACACATAGTTAGTACCCATTAGTCATAAATTTGACTGGACCAAACCGAAAACCCAATTGCAATATAGGTTCCATACCCATTTACGAAATTGTTGCGCATTTTGCAGTCAAAGCAGTCCCTTGAAGTTTCCGCCTTTTGGTTGCGACCCGGCATCTCCCTACCCAATAAAACCATACAGACCAGTTCTCAACTTTTCAAAGCCAAATGTCTTCCTTTAATTATTTGGAAATTTCCTTTCCGGTCCCCTCTCCTCCCCTTCTGTTTCTTCAAGTCGTCAGTCAACTGACAAATCAAAGCCGTCGATACCATAGACGTTTCAACCTCTGAAATCAATCTTGCTGCTCAAAGATTCCAATTTTCGGATATGGGTTTCGTGATTTGATTCTTGCTGTCCAAGTTTTGATTTGTTCTACCAAATTTTAGTTGCAGCAGAAGGAAGCTCGGAGGTGCAGGAACTGGAAGTCGGATTTCACTCCCATGGCTGCAATTAGATCAAGTTTTGGCTGATTTGATCTGAGCACGCACAGATTGTTTTCGAGGTTTTTGACTCCTACCCTTTCGCTTGTTCCTTCTGTTCTCAAATGGGTTGGTGTTGTTTTGAAGTTTAAAGACTTGGTTGTTCTTGTTTGTGAGAATTAAAGACTTAGTTCTTTAGCTGCAAGTATTTGGCTTTCCCCTTTTTTGCATATCTGGTTTCTGAAGTCTGTGAAGATATGAATATTGTGTCTGTAACTGTTATGTGAGCTGTGTTTGTTGCCATATCTGGTGTTGATTCTATGGCTATTATCAAGAAACAGCGTCTCAAGGACAAAGCGGCTTTTCGCCGTATCTTGCCATTGGTTTCGATTACATTGTTAGGGGTTTTCCTGCTGATGTTCCTCCTGAGATTTAATTCGAGTTCAAATTTTGTCACACCGCCTTCGGATGATTTTGATGAAGTATCATCAATAAGGAGTGGTAGTCGTTCACATGTTCGACAAATACTTAGCCTCCCTAAGCAGACTGAATTGTCAGTTCAGTTGGAAAAGAGAAATCAGATGCCCCCTAGGAACTTAGATCTCTATCCAAGTCTAGCCAAGGATCATATAACTATAGTTCTTTATGTGCACAACCGGCCGCAGTATCTCAAAGTAGCTGTTGATAGTCTGTCTCGGGTTGTAGGTATAAATGAAACTTTACTAATAGTTAGTCATGATGGATTCTTTGAAGAAATGAACAAGGTTGTGGAAGGGATCAGATTTTGCCAGGTGAAACAGATATTTGCTCCTTACTCGCCCCACGTCTTTCCCAATAGTTTTCCAGGGGAATCATCTACAGACTGCAAGGGAAAGGATGATGCGAAAGCGAAACACTGTAAGGGGACTCCTGATCAGTATGGAAACCACCGATCTCCAAAGATCGTGTCGTTAAAGCATCATTGGTGGTGGATGATGAACACAGTGTGGGATGGATTGAAGGAGACCAAGAATCACAATGGTCATATTCTTTTCATAGAGGAGGACCATTATATTTATCCCAATGCATATCGTAATTTGCAGATACTCACGGAATTGAAGCCTCATAAATGTCCTCATTGCTATGCTGCAAACTTAGCACCGTGTAATGTGAATGCAAAAGGAGAAGGTTGGGATAGTTTGATTGCAGAGAGAATGGGAAACGTGGGATATACATTTAACCGGACTGTTTGGAGGAAAATTCACAAGAAGTCTTCAGAATTTTGTTTCTTTGATGAATACAATTGGGATATAACAATGTGGGCAACAGTGTATCCCTCATTTGGTAATCCAGTTTTCACATTACGTGGGCCTCGGACTAGTGCAGTACACTTTGGTAAGTGTGGTTTGCACCAGGGACAGGGGGAGGCAAAAGCATGTATTGACAACGGCATGGTGAACTTTGATGTGGAGGAGATAGATAGGGTTGCAAACATCAACTCGGACTGGGAAGTGCAAGTCTTTGAGAATCAGCCAGGGTACAAAGCCGGGTTCAAGGGTTGGGGAGGTTGGGGGGACAAGAGAGACCACCAATTATGCTTGAGTTTTGCTCAGATGTATCATTCATAGATAGACATTACTTCTTCACCGTCGTTTTTAACCATCTGTTGTAACTGGCAAGATCTGGATTTCGTTTTTGTTGAGTGATAGCCAATGAAATAAATAGCTGTGAGATGTTTTGTATTGCTCGATAAAAATCACAAGTTTCACTTTCTTTTCTTCCATTCTCTGCTAGGCTTATTACTTTAAGGCATCTCACAAAGGAAGTATGGGTTCACAAACATGTAATTATCTGGTAGTGTGGTTGAGATTGTGTGGCGGTGAGTATTCTCAAACCAACGAGACGAGAAACACTTGGGTGTCATCGGAGATATATCTCCATGTTTCTACGGCGCTCATGACTTGGCGAGTGCTATAAAAACAAGAGAACAAGTCATGTTACAAATAGGGTTTTGACAAAGCAAAGATTTGTGTCGTCGATTGAAAGAATGCTATGCTACGATTGTGTTAAATGCTTTATCAAGGGAAATAATTTCTGCTCGCCCGTTTTGCCCTTCTGCACATCTTGTCCCGGTAGGAAAATTCACTTCCCTTTATTTATTATAAGGTTTAAGACACAAGCCTTAGTTCAACGTATTTGTACACTTTAATGAGTGGGAAACAAATAAAATCACTGTTCTAAAAATCTCCGCCTAGTGTTCCGATTAATGCCTAGGCATTTGAAAATTAAGAAATGATGCTAAGGTGCCCGCTTAGACCACCTAGGCACCTGCCTAGCCTGCCTAGACCCGCCTATGTTGCGATTCACTTGGACAGAAAATAGATAAGTTTCATTTTTGCATTTTAATTTTTTCAATACATTGTAAGGGACTTGTTGAATATTTAAATAAATACACATTATATGCATGTTTCCCATGTTTTCATTATGTTCCAATACTTCTTAATATATATATGTCATTATATTTTGCAGTTTATAATGAAATTATATATATTTTAAGTATAAACAGACATTTATTTACACGAAATATAATAGATTTATTTAAATCTGCCTAGTCCACCTATGTTTGGATGAGGGAAATAAACATGGAATTTTGGTAAAAGTTGGAATTTATAAATTGACAGACACCAATTCTCTTGTTTGGATTCATAAACATAGAAATTTAGAATTTCCGCGTGGAAAAAAAACTTGGAATTTGGGACCACCAAATCCCAAGTTCAAATTCCATGTAAATAGGTGTCATTTCTCAATTTCTATGATTGAGAGTTTAAAAATAACAAATTCCGTATTCAATTTCATTGTTATTTTAAGTTAACCAAACAAAAAAATTTACAAATTCTAGAAAATAAAATCTCGTCGTTTCAATTTTCGTCATTTTTAAATTTCTTAGTAATCTTAAATATCTTCACCCAAACATAGTGTAATTGTTTTTGGCCCTTCCAAAGGGGATTTGACTTCAAGATTCTTCCTTCCTCATTAGTTGACACGTGTCAAAACCATGTTCAATTGCCGTGCATTTGGGGCACTTAGGACGTTTTCAACTTTGCAAATTTGTAGCAAATTTCTACTTGGTTTCCTGAGGGAAGGACTAGTGGCCGCAATTGTTGGAGTCCCCACAATCACATGTTTCACTTCACATGAATTTGTGAGATTTTCCCCTTTTTTTTCCTAAGTTTGAAATTTCGTTTTAATAAACGATAATGTTAGTAGATTAAATTGTAATGTGACTAAAATCGAATCCACACCTGATTGCATAAATCTGCTCTTTATATGACATATATGTTAACCTTCACATGTAAAATAATTAATTCCCTTAACATTACCACTAGATAAAATTAACTTTAATTGTGCGATGATACAAATAAATAATAAGCTTTCAGAAGCGGAAGTTCTTTATGCTGCTTTCCACTTGCAACAAGCATAGAAAAACAAATCCAATAAATCAAAAGATGCAATGGTGGCTTGGCGCACAGACTGTCGCCAACTGCTAATTCGGCCCCATATCTCCATTATTTGCTAATTTGTATTGTAATCATGATTAACACAAAAACCAAATCCCACTAAACGTACAACAACACAGCTTGCTTAAAAGTTAATCACTTATTAAGCCGTAAAACCCAAGTCAAGTGTCCACTTTCGCAGTCAAAAAGTCCACCAGTTACTATTTTACCCAAGCCCAAGTAACAAGCAAAACTACAAGGAGGAGGAGAAGATAAACAGTAAAGAAAATCACCAAATATTACCAAAAAAATCTAGTGGAAGGCTAAAAGCACAAAAGCTGGAATCTTTTTGCTTATTTAATTTCTTTGTGAATCTCTCTCTCAAGGGTGAGTCCGGAGCCGCAGAACCCATGTCCGTTTTCACGTGGCTGTCTGATCCGTGCCCTGTAAATTTTGATGGTCAGTGACACTCCATCCCTCCTCTCCCACTGTTTCATCTATCTATATATATATATATATATGCATATAAATGTTTTGGTTTTATGTGTTATCTTGTTTTGTAGTTTATTTATTGAATTCTGTGTGGTATTAAATTATCTTGGTTTGGGGATTTGAAGTTTGTGGGGGAGAGAGAGGAATGTCAACTAGTGACCGTAAAGGTACAATTTTTTTTCAGTTTTTTAACTCTTTGAAGAAGCTAGAACAATTTGAAGCTGTAAAATTAGTCTGGGTTCTGGTTTTTTAGTTTGTATTGAAGTTTTGTGAAGTGTATGCTAGCAACCCACTTTGGAGATGCTCTAGGGATCATGAGGATTGTGAATTATTGACCTTTTCTGTGTAGATTTTCTTGGAGTTGCGGGAATTGGAAAAGTTTGATTGCTTTTTTGACATTGAAATGGTGGTGGGTTTCTTTCCTTTTCACTTCCGTGAAGGTTTTCGGGTCCGGGAGATTCAAGTGAGTAGGTAATTTGGCTGTGGTTTTGGATTTTGTTTTCGGGGGTTTTGGTAACTTCTTGATTGTTTGTGGGAGCTCATAGTTTGTTATTTCAATGCAGGGGTTGTTGAATTTTGGTTATGTGGTATTGAATTACGTGATTTTCGCGGCTGGGGTTGATTGAAATTAGCTCTACTTGGGGAAGAAATAAAGAACAAATGGAGGGTGGAGAGATGTCGTCGGCGTCTTTGAACAAGATGAATAGTTCTAGAAGCAGCTCAAGTCAATCAAAAACTGGGGTTCGTTTATTTTCGCAGACGCCCATTGATGCGAAGCTTGACATAGACTTTCGAGAATCTGAACAGTTTTTTGATTACTCTGCGTCAGTTGACTGCAATATCTCATCTTCCACTAGCAAAGTCCCCTCCAGCACTGTATCTGCTTATCTCCGAAACATGCAGCGAGGAAGCCTTATTCAACCATTTGGTTGCTTGATTGCTGTTGATGAGAAAAACTTCACTGTTCTTGCCTATAGTGAAAATGCCCCAGAAATGTTGGACTTGGCCCCTCATGCTGTTCCAAATATCGAGCAGCAAGAAGCTTTGACTTTTGGAGCGGATGTCCAGACACTCTTTCAGTCGTCAGGTGCTGCTGCGTTGCACAAAGCAGCCCATTTTGGGGAAGTTAATCTTCTCAATCCCATATTGGTGCATTCTAAGACCTCCGGTAAGCCCTTTTATGCAATTCTACATCGAGTTGACGTTGGTTTAGTAATAGATTTGGAACCTGTAAGTCCAGCTGATGTTCCAGTGACTGCTGCGGGAGCATTGAAATCTTATAAGCTTGCAGCCAAAGCCATCTCAAAATTGCAGTCCTTGCCAAGTGGGGATATATCATTGTTATGTGATGTTATAGTTAAGGAAGTTAGTGATTTGACGGGTTATGATCGCATAATGGTGTATAAATTTCATGAAGATGAACACGGGGAAGTTATCGCTGAGTGCCATCGACCTGACCTGGAACCTTATCTGGGTTTTCATTTCCCAGCCACGGATATACCTCATGCTTCTAGATTCTTATTTATGAGGAACAAGGTTAGGATGATATGTGATTGTTTAGCCCCTCCAGTTAAAGTAATCCAGGACAAGAAATTAGCTCAACCATTGAGTCTTTGTGGATCAACATTGAGATCTCCTCATGGTTGCCATGCACAGTATATGAAAAGTATGTCTTCCATTGCATCTCTTGTGATGTCTGTTACAATCAACGACGATTCTGATGAGATGGACAGTGATCAGCGGAAGGGAAGAAGAAAATTATGGGGCTTATTGGTTTGCCATCACACAAGCCCTAGATTTGTTCCTTTCCCTTTAAGATATGCCTGTGAGTTCTTGATACAAGTTTTTGGTGTACAGATCAGCAAAGAAGTGGAGCTGGCTGCTCAGTCGAGGGAGAAACATATATTAAAAATACAGACTCTGCTCTGTGACATGCTTATGAGGGATTCCCCTGTAGGGATTGTTACTCAATCGCCTAATGTGATGGACCTTGTTAAGTGTGATGGAGCTGCATTATATTACAGGAAGAAATTATGGTTGCTTGGGGTTACCCCGACAGAGGCACAAATTGAGGATATTGCTGAATGGCTTCTCAAGTACCATAGTGGGAGCACAGGCTTAACTACTGATAGCCTTATGGAGGCTGGTTATCTAGGTGCTTCAGCCCTTGGCGATGAAGTTTGCGGAATGGCTGCTATTAAGATTACCTCAAAGGATTTCCTTTTTTGGTTTCGGTCCCACACCGCAAAGGAAATCAAATGGGGTGGAGCAAAACATGATCCTGATGACAAGGATGATGGAAGAAAAATGCATCCAAGGTCATCATTCAAGGCTTTCCTGGAGGTGGTTAAGCGACGAAGTGTGCCTTGGGAAGATATTGAAATGGATGTCATCCATTCTTTACAGCTAATACTGAGAGGATCATTACCAGACGAGCCTGTGGATGATTCCAAAGTGATTGTGAAGGCTCCATCAGTTGATGATAGGATACAGAGAGTGGATGAACTTCGCATTGTTACAAATGAAATGGTTCGACTTATTGAGACAGCTGTAGTTCCCATTTTTGCTGTTGATGCCTCCGGTACTATAAATGGGTGGAATACAAAAGCATCTGAGCTAACAGGATTAGCTGTTGAGCAAGCTATTGGTATGCCGTTAGTTGATATTGTTGGAGATGATTCAATTGAAGTGGTGAAGGACATGCTCTCATTCGCATTGCAAGGTGACCCTACTATTCATCCCTTGACAATTTAAGGATACTAGATTACCTATATAAAAGATTTTAAAATCATCACAAACCTCCCTTTTTTCTTTTCTATTTCATTTTCTGGATTATTATATGATGATTCTTTCACTTTCCATATGTATATAGAAATAGAAAGAAATCCATCATCCATGTCACTCCATTCTAGGTATTTTAGTTTGTAAATAGAAAAATTGACACTAGCTGCGGACTGATTTGCTGTTTCTCTAGATGATACGTAGACCAGAATAGGTGACTTGGAGATGCTCATAAATCAGAATAGTCATTGGATGTTGCTTTACCTGAAGCGTCTTTGGTGATAAATTGAACATATTGTCAAATGGATAACGGTGAATGGTTGTATAATTAGCGATATGGTGTTCTAATTGTTAAGAGATTTTTTTTTTTTTTTTTTTTTTTTTTCTGGGATGTGCCCTTTTGTATTCCTTCAAGCTTCTGACTTCGTGAATTTTCACAAAAGTTGAACCGGATGATTCCCTTGTGTTTTCTGCATGGGTTGCTCCCTGACCCACACCACTCTTTACATTAATACCCTTTGTAACTAGTAATTTGGTTTCACTCTTTACATAACCAATGCATACGAAGTTTATAAAATAAAGACGGATATGTAATAACTTAGTAGTGTGCTTTTCTTTTACCTTATATACATTTTCCCTCATACACTTCTTGGGTTCCTTCTCCTTTGTCTAATCTGCAATTTGTCTTACGTGATTGTAAAATGGCAGGTGTGGAGAAGAAAAATGTTGAAATCAAACTGAAAACATTTGGCCATCAAGAAAGTAACAGTTTTGTAATCTTGGTGGTCAATTCATGTTGTAGCCGAGACATAAAGGAAGATGTAGTTGGGGTTTGCTTTGTAAGCCAAGATCTTACCGAAGAAAAACTGGGTATGGACAAGTATACCCGTTTGCTAGGTGATTATGTTGGGATTGTTCGGAGCCCATCTGCACTGATTCCTCCTATATTTATGACTGATGAGAATTTTCGTTGCTTGGAGTGGAATGATGCTATGCAAAAATTGTCTGGCTTGAGAAGGGAAGAAGCAGTTGATCGGATGCTCATTGGGGAAGTTTTCACTGTGAAAAATTTTGGTTGTCGTGTTAAAGGTCATGACACATTAACCAAGCTTAGCATTCTACTAAATGGGGTAATAACAGGCGAGAATGTTAGTAAATTGCATTTTGGGTTTTACGATCAGCAGGGTAATTATATTGAAGCATTACTTTCTGCCAACAAACGAATTGATGCATTGGGAAAGATAACTGGGGTTTTGTTCTTTTTACATGTGGCTAGTCCAGAGCTTATGTATGCTATGCAGATGCAGAGAGCATCAGAGCAGGCTGCAGCTGATAGTATTAAGAAATTGGCGTACGTTCGTCAAGAAATCAAAAAGCCTCTAAGTGGGATTATGCTTATGCATAATCTGATGGGGTCTTCTGATTTAAATGAAGAGCAGAAGCAGTTACTTAGGAAGAGAAGATTGTGTCAGGACCAATTGGCCAAGATTGTTGATGACACTGATCTCGAAAGTATCGAGGAATGGTATGTTGTTTTTTTTTGTTTTTTTGTTTTTTTCATTTTTCCAAATCAAGTTGTGACCCTATCAGTTTTCTTCCTTCAATATCAGATTTAGATTGTAGCGCCTACTTTTATGTTTTGGACTGGCAATAAAAGAAACTTCGTAACTTGTTTTCATATTGATCCTGATTCATGAAGAAGAATAATCCCTTATTGTTTGCACTAATTTCAATTCTACTTGCAGCTACATGGAATTAAATTCTAGTGAATTTAACCTTGGGGAAACTGTGGAGGTTGTCATATATCAAGCTATGGTTTTGAGTCAGGAGCGGCAAGTGAAGGTCATCCATGACTCACCAGCCGAGGTGTCATCCATGCTCTTGTATGGAGACAATTTGAGGCTACAACAAATTCTGTCTGATTTCTTGACAAACACACTCCTTTTCACCCCTGCATCCGAAGGATCGTCCATTGTGCTCAGAGTAACCCCAAAGAAGGAACGTATAGGCATGAAAATGCACATTGTTCATCTTGAGTTCTGGTAAATCTCACTTCATATTGCTCATTATGGAACCTGCCATCTGAGCCTAAATTAAGATTGTTAACTTCAGTTGTGTGGTTAACATTGCAGTATCACTCATCCAGCACCAGGAATTCCAGACGATCTAATTCAAGAGATGTTTCACAACAGCCATCGAGTCTCAAAGGAAGGGCTAGGCCTACAAATGAGCAAGAATCTGGTGAAGATCATGAACGGCACTGTACGTTATCAGAGAGAAGCAGAGAGAGCAGCCTTTATAATACTCATAGAATTTCCGCTGGTTCACCAGATTAGCAGATAAACCTTCTGGTCTATGTATATTACACACACACAGGCAACACTCCCGCTTCAGTTGACTGACACTTAAACCGGCGTGGCATGTCCATAACTAAACGGCTCTATCAGTCAGCGTCTGGACCAACAATTATTCAGAGGCTGGAGGATTCTAATTTTTCACTGGCAAGCTCGGTAAGCTGCAATATTAATTAGAGATTTTAGAGTGAGTAATAACGTTTTTGCTTCAAGGTCGACACCAAGATTTTTTAAGCAAATACGGATCAAGTTCAGCGGAAGACTTCCTGGGATCAATCTCTTTGCTCATCTCAGTTGCATCCTCATCATTCTTTATCAAAAGTTTTCGTGTTCCCGCTCTCTCTAGCCTATACACAACATCAAGTCGAGATTTGGAGAGGGGTGGTTTCGGATGTTTGAATAGGTCAGGTGAAGGCAGTTTGATGCTTGAAACTTATGTTAATTTAAAGTGTATATGCTAACCCTTTGTAAAAGAGAGATTCTTGTGCGCTTGATGAAATTGAACTATGCAAATGTTGTCTACGTACTTCAAATTCAACCATGCTTTTTGTTGTGGCCTGAAAGTTGGACACCATGTCGACCTACTTGCACCAAGACATGAGCTTCTCCCACACAATGTTCGTGCCTTTCATCGGAACCCTTTTGTCTCCGGCCGCAACGACCAGATGAAGAAGCTCGTTACTTCCACACTGGCCTGAAAAGAAGACGTCAGTCAAATCATGAAAATCTGAAACTCGAAATCATGTAATTTTATGGTGTTTTTTACAATACATCAATGCTTAAAATATAAAAACTTGAAAAACGCTATCATAATCTGACGTAGCACCAATTTGAAAGTCTACTAAACCATCTAATTAGTCCAAACTTAATAAGTTTTTGTTTTCAATCAAATCTCATCAATATCAACATTTGTAATATGAAATTTTATATTTCACAAAATTCAACATAAAATTTCAAAATTTCTTTCTTTGGCTCTTTTATGGTGACCGTTTAAATCGTTAGACTCAACGGTAGTGGACAGAGCGCGCGCAGTCATGGAGCCTGAAACGAAGTTAAGAAACGGCGACTCTGTTTGAAAGTCTCAACCTTTCCACCAGATCGCGCGAAAATCCATGAAAGAAAGCACAACCTTCGTCCTCACCAGACTGTTATGTTTCGCTGCTTTCTCTCCTTCACTCCCTCTCGCTCTCACAGAAAACTTCCCCACCGTTCAAACCCTGCTCTCACAACATCCGCCGCCGCCTCCCCTGCCGTCTCAAGCCCACCGCGTGCCTCCCTTTTCTTCCAATCTCAAAACCCAACTCCCCATTTGATCCCATTCAAGAGCTTGGCTGATCAGTACACATCATCCGAGCCGCAGATTAAAACCCAAGATTTGGATCATGCCAGCAATGGTGCATATGGGTATCTTGCTACTCGATTCAGGGACTCGCGTACCTCAAACGACGCGCAGAACTTTCATTTGCAGATTTGCAAACTTGGGTTTGCTAATGATTTGTTTTTGTGCAATACTCTTATCAATGTTTACGTCAGAAGCGGTGCTTTGGTGGAAGCAGGCATGCTGTTCGAGGAAATGCCTGATAAGAACTCGGTTACTTGGGCTTGCTTGATTTCGGGGTATACCCAGAATGGCATGCCAAATGAGGCGTGTGCCCATTTTAAACGGATGGTTTCTGGCGGTTTATCGCCTAGTCCTTACGCTTTTGGTAGCGTTCTTCGAGCTTGCCAGGAGTCTGGTCCTAGCAAGCTTAAGTTTGGGATGCAAACACATGGGTTGATATCTAAAACGGATCATGCTTCTGATATGGTAATGGCTAATGTGCTGATGTCAATGTATGGGAAATGTTTGGGGCCTGTTGATGATGCTTACCGGGTTTTTTGCGAGATAAAGATTAGAAATTCAATATCCTGGAACTCAATTATTTCAGTTTATTGCCAAAGAGGTGATGCAGTCTCTGCATACAAGCTTTTCTCGAGCATGCAAAAGGACTGTGCAGGTTTCAGTTTGAAACCTAATGAGTACACGTTTGGTAGCTTAATAACTGCAGCTTGTTCTTTGGCTGGTTCGGGTTTGAGTTTGCTTCAGCAAATGCTGACTAGGATTAAGAAATCTGGAATTTTACAGGACTTGTACGTGGGAAGTGCTTTGGTTAGTGGATTTGCAAGGTTTGGGTTAATTGATTATGCTAGGAATATTTTTGAGCAGATGAGTCAGAGGAATGCAGTGTCAATGAACGGGTTGATGGTTGCATTGGTGAGGCAGAAGCGAGGAGAAGAAGCCACTGAAGTTTTCATGGAGATGAAGGACTTGGTTGGAACAAACCTTGATTCGCTTGTGGTTCTTTTAAGTTCTTTTCCTGAATTTTTGGTTTTGGAGGAAGGGAAAAGAAGGGGAAGAGAGGTTCATGCATACGTAATCAGGGCTGGTTTAATGTACAGAAAAGTTGCAATAGGTAATGGACTGGTTAATATGTATGCTAAATGTGGTGCTATTAATGATGCTTGCTCAGTTTTCAGGCACATGGTTGACAAAGACTTAATCTCATGGAATTCTCTAATCTCTGGTCTTGATCAGAATGAGCGTTTTGAAGATGCAGTCATGAACTTCCGTGACATGAGGAGATCAGAGTTGATGCCTTCAAATTTTACATTAATTAGTGCTTTGAGTTCATGTGCAAGCTTGGGGTGGATCATGTTGGGACAACAGATACATTGTGAAGCACTTAAATTGGGACTTGATTTCGATGTTTCAGTGTCAAATGCTCTTCTTGCATTATATTCCGACACTGGGTATCTTAGTGAATGCCGAAATGTTTTCTTCTTGATGCAGGAGTATGACCAAGTGTCATGGAATTCCATAATTGGGGCTTTAGCTGGTTCAGAGGCATCAGTTTCAGAAGCTGTTCAATATTTCTTGGACATGATGCAATCTGGGTGGGAGCTTAATAGAGTAACACTTTTGAGCATTCTTTCAGCAGTTTCATCTCTCTCACTTCCAGAGCTGGGCCAGCAGATTCATGCTGTAGTCTTAAAATACAATGCTATCGAGGACTGTGCTATTGAGAATGCACTAATTACTTTCTATGGAAAGTGTGGAGGGATAGATGACTGTGAGAGGATATTTTCTAGAATGTCTGAGAGAAGGGATGAAATAAGTTGGAATGCCATGATTTCTGGATACATACACAATGAGCTCTTGCCCAAAGCCATGGATTTGGTCTGGTTTATGATGCAAAGGGGTCAGAGATTAGACTCGTTTACCTTTGCTACCGTTCTTAGTGCTTGTGCCTCCATTGCAACATTAGAAAGTGGTATGGAAGTTCATGCGTGCGGGATAAGAGCTTGTTTGGAATCTGATGTTGTAGTTGGAAGTGCACTTGTTGACATGTACTCAAAATGTGGAAGGATTGATTATGCTTCAAGGTTCTTTGAATCAATGCCAGTGAAGAATGCATACTCTTGGAATTCACTGATATCAGGTTATGCTCGTAATGGACAGGGACAAGAAGCTCTGAGACTTTTCGCGCAAATGAAGCAACAAGGTCAGATGCCAGATCATGTTACTTTTGTCGGAGTCTTATCAGCTTGTAGCCATGCAGGAATGGTGGATGAAGGGTTTCACCATTTCGAATCCATGACCAAAGTACATGGACTGGCTCCTAGGATGGAGCACTTTTCATGTATGGTTGATCTTCTTGGCAGGGCAGGAAAACTTAATATGATAGAGGACTTCATCAACAAAATGCCAATGAAGCCTAATGTTCTTATTTGGAGGACAGTTTTAGGGGCTTGTGGCCGAGCTAGTGGTCGCAACACCGAACTAGGTAGAAGGGCTGCTGAAATGCTATTAGAGTTGGAACCCCAAAACGCTACAAACTACGTGCTTCTTGCTAACATGTATGCTTCTGGAGGGAAGTGGGATGATGTGGCCAAGGCGCGGATGGCAATGAGGAAGGCATCAGCAAAGAAGGAAGCAGGTTGTAGTTGGGTCACCATGAAGGATGGTGTTCATGTGTTTGTAGCAGGAGACAAATCACACCCGGAGAAAGATTTAATATACGATAAACTGAAGGAACTCAATGGAAAAATGAGGGATGCAGGATATGTGCCTGAAACGAAATTTGCGCTTTACGATCTTGAACAGGAGAACAAGGAAGAACTCCTGAGCTATCACAGCGAGAAGCTTGCGGTTGCATATGTTCTTACTCGCCCGTCACAGTTGCCTATAAGGATTATGAAAAACCTCCGTGTTTGTGGTGACTGCCACACCGCCTTCAAATATATATCGAAGATTGTTGGTAGGCAAATAGTATTGCGAGACTCAAACAGATTTCATCATTTTGCAGATGGCAAGTGCTCGTGCGGGGATTACTGGTAATCGACTAGTGAGTACTCGGTACTGATTGAGACTGAGCATAGTTGACAATGTCAGAGTGGGGAGTACTGCCCTTGATCAACTAAGAAGCTTCAGTTTTGGCATTTTTGTACAGTAATTTAGGATTTGTTTATAAGTGTTTTTAAAATGACTGAAAGTGTTTTTAGAGAAAATGTTGTGGGGTCCAAAAGCACTTACGTCCTTCCTGCAAAAAGCACTTAACGTCGTTTCCATAATTCACTTGCATTTTTACTAAAGATTGTCTGCAAAAACATTTTTACCAAAAGCGTTTTCAATCATTTTAAAAACACTTCTAAACAAGTTCCTTATTGATTGGGTTAACCCTTTTGTATCAATCAAATTTTGTCTAATTTAAGGAATTTTGTGCAAGGAATTATATGAAGCTGCTAATACCCAGCATTGCTTTCGATAATTGTGTACTTAATGCAGGGAAATTCAAGCTCTTCATGTCATCTGGTAATTTTAATTTAAGCAAATGAGAACGGAAGTAAAAAGTAAAGAGAAGTTAAATTGAAGAAAATGAGAGTGAAAATCGCAACTCTTTATTAAAGTTTGTGGCGTTTGAGTAAAAAAAATTGTAACTTAAATGATTGAGAGCATTATCAATTGAAATCGTGGATTAAAATATGCCTTCAAATTCCCGTTGTCGCATGACATAAGTGGTGTTCGACCCAATATACCGTGTGGCACGTGGTCTTTTAGGATGGAAAGTTTGATGCATTTGATGCATCAATCAAAAGCCAATGATAAATGTTTTGTTAAATTTAGAGACGTAAATTAACAAAATTTTAGTCAAGGTTCTAAAAAATGTTATACGGTAGTCAAAATGTTAGATGCTAGTCAGGCGGCAGGTTGGGATCTAGCGTCTAGATAGACTAGACGGATTTAAGTAAATCTATTATATTTTTTTGTAAAGAAGTGTATTTATACTGCAAAATATAATTTCATCATAAACTACAAAATAGAATGACATATATATTATGATTTATTGGAACATAATAAAAACATAAGGAACAAACAAATATATTGGAACATAATGAAAACATAAGGAACAAACACATAATGTGTGTTCATTTCAGTATTCAACAAATCTCTTACAATTTATTAAAAAAATAAAATGTAAAACTAAAGTTATCTATTTTGCCTAAATGAGTCACGACCTAGGCAGGTACCTCCGTGAGTATGAGCAGGTTAGGCGGGTGCCTCAACAGGTCTAGGCACATTTTCTTAATTTTCAAACGTCTAGGCATTAACTGAGACTGTGGCCAGCCGCCTATCATCTAGACGGAGATTTTTAGAATAGTGATTTTAGTTCATGGAATAATTCTAAACACGGTTCTAAATTTTAAACTTTACTCTATTATTTTTCGTCCACCTAAGCGATGCTAGGTGGGAATTTTTAGAACAATGATTTTAGTTCATGCACTAATTCTAAACAGTTCTAAATTTTACACTTTATTCTTTTTTGCCATTGCAATTGATATTCTACACTAATATTCTATTTTAAGTTTAGGCCTTCCATACTTTTTGGTCTACACCTGTAATCTCAAGATAAACACAAATCAACTTTTGCTAACGTTTTATGTGGGCCCACAACTAACATATTTCAATTGGGCCCATTGGCTTGTTTTATAAAATTATCTCAAATTCACCAAAAACAACTGAAATTCCTCTGCGGAGAGAGAGAGACGATGAAGAACCCAAAGCGCGAACAAAAACACAAAGAGGGGTTGTACTTTCGCTCGCATTTCCGTATCGGGTATGTTAATTTCTCTCTCAATTCATCACTTCCTGCTCAAAGTTCGAACCTTTACCTCTTCACTGCCACTCTATCTTCTGTTTTTTTTTTTTAATTTTTTTTAATATAATTGTGTAATTTTTTGAATTTCTGGACCTAAACATTTGCAGCGGCTCTGCGACTCCACATTGTCTTGGCCTGAATAATTTGAGCCGTTCGAAATTTTGAAGGCAATTTTTGTTACTGGTAAGCTCCTTTTTTTAATTAAAATTGTAAGTTTGTTATTTTTATCTGTTTCACTGTCTTAAAGATCAATTTTTTTGGGGTATCGAACAATTTGAATTCATGCTTGTTGCTGGGTTTCTTTTAATCTTTTTCATTTAATTTACCTAATTTTTGGAAAATGACATGTGTCTTTTGTGGAATTTCGATTCGTTGTTAGTTTATGCCAAATTTTCATTTTTGTTCATTGATTTAGAATTCACTATCTTCAGCTAAACTCTGTAGTGTTAACTCTTTAGGAAGGATATAGAATTTAAGGAAAGACTCCGCCTTTCTCCGCTGCGTTTTTTGGGACTAAAATCGCATGATGAATTATTTATAAATGTATTTTTCCTTGTTTATACAGTCTGAATGAAATGCCAACTTTTTGTTCCAAGTAATCACTTTTTTCCTCGGTTTGCAGATTGTTTGGCTGAAGGTTACTGGAAAACTTATTGTGTTTCTTTAACGATGGCAATGAAGCCCTCGAACATCTGGCTTCGGCGCCAACAGTGCCCATGTGGAGATTGGAAGTGTTACATTAAGTATGAAGGAGATGATTTGACATCAGTAAGCTCTCAGCATGTGAAGAGTGAGATAGCTCAGTCTTCGTCATCATCAGAAGCTGTCTTCACTCCATATGTTGGTCAAATTTTCAAAACTGATGATGATGCTTTTGAATACTACAGCAACTTTGCCAGGAAGAATGGGTTTTCAATTAGGAAAGCGCGCTCGACAGAAAGCCAAAACTTAGGAGTATATAGACGAGATTTTGTTTGTTACCGATCTGGATTTAATCAACCGAGAAAAAAGGCCAATGTGGAACATCCTAGGGAGCGAAAATCAGTACGATGTGGATGCGATGCAAAGTTGTATTTGACAAAGGAAATTGTTGATGGTGCTTCGCAATGGTATGTTTCACAGTTTAGTAACGTTCATAATCATGAGTTATTGGAAGATGACCAAGTGCGCTTACTTCCTGCATATCGTAAAATACAAGAGGCTGATCAAGAAAGAATTCTTTTACTCTCCAAAGCTGGGTTCCCTGTAAACCGGATAGTAAAAGTGTTGGAGCTAGAAAAGGGGGTTCAACCTGGACAGTTGCCCTTCATAGAGAAAGATGTTAGAAATTTTGTTAGGACTTGTAAGAAGACTGTTCAAGAAAATGATGCTCTGCTCAATGAGAAAAGAGAGAATGATATGCTGGAACTTCTTGAGGCCTGCAAGGCTATGACTGAGAGGGATCCAGATTTTGTCTATGATTATTCTGTAGATGAAAATGAAAAGGTTGAAAATATCGCATGGTCATTTGGCGATTCCATTCGCGCATACAATGTTTTTGGTGATGTAGTTGCTTTTGACACTGCGTATCGTTCAGTCACTTATGGATTGCTCCTTGGAGTATGGTTTGGTATCGATAATCATGGCAAGGCAATTTTCTTAGGATGTGTGCTACTACAAGATGAAAGTTCTCATGCATTTGCTTGGGCTTTACAGGTTCGTGGATGTAAATTCTTTGGTCAATCCCCATCAGTCTTCTTGTATTTCCTTATGATTTTCTTCTTTTGAACAGGCTTTTATGCGATTTATGAGAGGAAGACATCCGCAGACTATTCTTACCGATATAGACTCAGGCCTCAGAGATGTTATAGCAAGCGAATTGCCAAATTCAAAACATGTAATATGTATATGGCATATTTTATCCAAAATATCCAGTTGGTTCTCTTTGCCCATTGGATCACAGTATGAAAACTTTAAAGCCGAGTTTGATATGGTCTCTCATCTGGAGAATGTTGAAGATTTCGAGCATCAATGGAACATTTTGGTTGCTCGGTTTGGCCTTGTATCCGATAAACATGTAGATTTGTTGTATTCTTACCGAGCATCCTGGGCATTTTCTTACATTAGAAGTTACTTTCTCGCTCGTACACTGACAGCGGAGTTTTCATCATCTTTGGAGTCATTCTTGAAACGAATTTTGAATGGACAGACATGTCTGCAAGTATTCTTTGAGCAGGTAAGGTTTATTTGATCTTTTGGTGCATGTACGTTCAGATTTCGATAACTGCATCATTAAGTTCTGTTTTGGGATCTTGAAGGTTACTATTGCTGCCAACTTTGAGAACCAGACCAGAGAAGGGATGCAATACATGCATGTCAAGACCGGCATGCCTCTGGAAGAACACGCACGGAATATTCTTACACCTTATGCTTTCAATGTCTTACAACGCGAAATTGTTCTGTCTGAGCAATATGCAGCAACAGATTTGGGGAACGGATCCTATCTTCTGAGACACTACAAGAAATTGGACGGAGAGTGCCTTGTCATTTGGATGGATGATGAGCAGATTCACTGTTCCTGTAAGGAATTTGAGCATTCTGGGATTTTATGCAGGCATTCCCTTCGCGTACTAGTAATGAAGAATTACTTTCAACTCCCTGAAAAATATTTTCTGCTCCGTTGGCGGCTAGAAAGTTCCCTGGTTTCTTTGGATGATCAAAATGCTCAAATCAGCAGCGATGAGTGTGCTCGGGCCTTTCACGGGCTTACTGATACCCTATTGACAGAGTCACTGATCTCCAAGGACAGATTTAATTATGTTCATAGCGAGCTTACGAGTCTTCTCGAGCATGTTAGGAAGATGCCGGTGATTGACGAATATGCTGCGATTGCTGCAGCTACTAACATCAGTGAATCTTAGTCGTCTTTGTTCATAAGATTCAACTCTGTGTATGAAATGTGGTGGTGTGGAAGGCATCAAATTGTACTGACTAAAATCAATAAGCTCGCTCTCGAACATTTGTATACAAATTTTAGAAACATGAATACAGAATTTTTATCAACCCCGGTCAGCTCAAATTGTCTGGATGGGTGTCAATTTTTCAGTGTTATTTAGTTCCGGCTGTTCGGTAGATGTCCTTCCCACAGCAGCGGTGGTCACAAGTTGTTAGGGGTTTTTCAGTTTTTCATTTGTTTTGGGCTATAACTTGCTTTTGGGCTCGTTTCGCTGCACTTTGGGAGCTATATCCGTGTTGTGTGCTTATTGTAATCCGGTCTTTTCCTTGTAAATTTGTTTAGTAATAAAGTTGCCTTGTTTCCAAAAATATAAGGCTTAAATGTTATAATGGTCCCTGTGTTTTAGTCATTGGGTCAATTTAGTCTATGTATTTTCAATTTGGCCAATTCGGTTCTTGTGTTTATCTTCGTGAGCCAATTAAGGAAATTTCCATCTAATATTTGTAAAAAAATTCATAAATTATTATAAACTTAGTTATATAATTATTTATTTGATTTACAATATTTAATAAAATTTAAAAATAAAAGAAAAATTATTCTCCTCCCAACTCTCCGACTTCCTTCCTAACATTATTTCCCTCTCTTTTCTATGTCATAACCTTAATAATTTTTCAAATTTGAAGTTTTTTTCTCTTATATGTGTTATTTCTCATTAATTTGTATTGTTAATAAAGAGAAAAGGTAATTATATCTCTTATAATTTTTCTTATGAAATTTTTAACATATATTGAATGAAATATCCTTAATTGGCTAACAGAGATAAACACAATGATTAAATTGGCCAAATTGAAAACACGGGAACTAAATTGACCATATGGCTACAACACAGAGACCATTTTGACCTTTAAGCCAAAATATAATACATATGAGGGAAATTATTTCTACACACTTTTTTCGTCTTCTGCACACACATATTTATTTATGTCTCTTGATCCTTCTCTGAATCAATTAATCAAATGACCATAAATAAAAACAGGAGTGCATGGAACGAAAATGGTGTGCGGAAGGAAATCACTTTCTTATCGGAAAATAATGTAAATTGTAAGGTGCATTCTAAGATGAGTCGCCTTCCAGTGTATATTGGGACAAATGGAGTTCACCGACCTCAATTTAATTTTCTGCATCGACAATGACTTGATGGCCGGATTGCAGACGCGACGTTTCTAATTTCCTCAATATCGTGATGTTGTCTTGATATCCTACTTAAATGCAGTTTCCGTCTACTTTTTAACCATGTATTGTCGGAATGTGTCTCTGACACATTGACCTGGAATATCTAATAGGATCCTGAATCGAGTCGTGCTGACCAATACTTAGAAGATGACGAAACCAAAAATGCAATAATGTATAAAATATGAATAAATTAAAATCTAAAAATGGTTGAGTACACGAGTGCGTAGTAAGAGTCCGAGAAATGTGACAATCTAGCTATGAAACGGACGTCAATTTTTTAATAAAGAATGAATGTAATAATGTTGATATGTCATTTATAGAACATACGATATTAATGTTAATGAGAATAAAAAAAACAAACGTCATGCAAAAAAAAAAAATCGATGATGGTAAAAAATGCTGCTTCTTTGTAAATATTCTTCAATTAAAGCTTCAGCAGGTTACATCATTGGTTTGAAACACACCAATGACCACGGCATATGAACAAAGACTTCTCATCGCACATTATTGCAGAATGGGGTCACTAAAATTTTGAAAGTATCTGTAGGGCCTTATATAAAATTCAATGTCCTTCGTTGCCAAACGACAAGCACTACTTTCACCAATTCAATGTCTTCTTTGTGGTCTTTATTGGTCATTTCTATTGACTAACGTCATATAAATTAAGAGTTCGGATTTCTTTTTCTTTTCAACAGCTCAGATAACATACTCTTTCAGCTTTGGACACAAAGATCCGGAGATGATCTCTATTCATTGGATTGGACTACCAAGTCAATGAAAATTTCAAATTTGTAGTTTTAATTTTTTCATAAATGATAGGATATTTATAAAAGTACTATTACAATGTAAATTAAGTCATCCGATAAGTTCTAATGAATTATGTTTTAATATCGAATTCATAATATTATATTTTTTTTATCCGTATGATTCAGACACGAGACCTCCTCGAGTCTGAGTGAAGACGTTATAGTACTAAACTAACTAATCATGTGGCCATGGCATTATTTTATATGAAGCCACACAAGAAAACGTCTGATTGGGGTTGTCGTGTTTAATGTCTCCCACTCCACCGTTGTGTTTAATTGCAATATTTGTGAGTGCTTGCCTCCAAGGAAACCAAATCGAGTGCCAAGTCAATTTCACTCTCATTATGCTCTCTCTGCCCTTTTTTTCATCCTTTTTCTGATTCCCATCATATTTTTTTATCTCAATTCAAGAAGGGAAATGGGGGGTCGTAATGAAATTATATATTGGGTTGAAGGTAATATTAGGTGACATGAGAAATAGACCTTATTAATATTGTGTGTGACGGTAAGAGGAAAGTGTAACAATAGTCTTTAAGTTTTGATCCAATTGGAGGAATGCATCTCACCTAAATCCGTGATCATTGGTCTCTTAGCTCATCAAAACGTATAGCTATGGTCCTTTTTGTCAACTCTGTTAAAACTTATGTCAAAATGAATCACGAGTCACACACGTGATGCTAATCAAAGAACAAATATGAAAACCCAAATGAGAAAAATTGTAGCAATAGTCCCTCAACTTTAATCCAATTGGAGAAATGAACCCTTAACTTTAACCCAATTGTAGCAATGGTCCTTCCAATATGACTCATTTTGACGGAATTCTGACGGAGTTGACGATAGAACATAGTTGTACGTTTTGATGAGTTAATTAAGTTAAAGGATCATTTCTTTAAATAGGTTAAAATTGACAGACTATTACTACAATTTTCTCCGATGATAACAACACATGAGGAGAAAATCAGACAAGAATAAGACGATTTTGATGAAATAGATATCATGTTAGTAAATGGTGATGCATAGTTAGTTGGTGGTGCAGTGCAGTTTGTGTCTTGTTTCTTGTGACTTGTATGCTCACCTTATGAGAATGTTGTGCATCCCATTATGCACTTAATTAAGCTCGTTAAGATGTCAAGATCTCTAAGCTTTGTCGGATGGTCACTTTGTGCCTGCTAAATCAACACCAAAAAGTATAGAAAATATGCACACCTTGTTCCAACCATGGACATAACTGGACAGCTCATCATGTACACATGCAACTAAAGTCTATAAAGATTGTAGCATCAAGGTTTCGATGGAGGGCACAAAACATGATTAATTCTCCATTTAAATTTGGAATATGGATTATTAAAGTAGTGTTGCATTATCGGATGTATGTTGTCGAACATATATTTAGATCTTAATTTGGAATATAGAGTTACGACATAGTGTTTTATTGTCAGACTTGCGTTGTCGGACATATATTTAATTTAGACTTGAATTTAGAATATGAATTCATAAAATAGTGTTTTGTTTACAGACATATATTTAGACTTAAATTATTTGCATATTATGATTTTGTCACATTTCAGATGTTGATCAACATGCATCGATTTCGGTATTCATTTGAATATTCGAGTTAAGATGTGTCATTTTGGACCATATTGTCTAATTAAAATAACAAACTATTGATAACCCGACAAACTAATGACGAAGAGAGTTTCTAGTAGCTTGACGAAGCACAGCACATACATCCATGTCTTACATATGCACACTTTCTTGACTGGTAGAATGCGTCTTATTCAAGGCATGATCAGACAAATTTGAAGTCTAGCACGAATTGGACTATTCGTTCGACGGCAATTGTCTTGTTCTGAAAGACCTGGAAACCAAGAGTCAAGTGAGCATTTGCTTGGTATCTTCTCCAAAGCTGGAGAAATTTTTAATTGTGACGATAACACAAATGGTACACCACGTATTTTAATTGAAGTTGTAAGAAATTTTATTTTTTAAGTTATTAACTTTTTAGTACACATATCCAACCATTTGTATAATAACACGTGGTGTACTACTCCGTGTACTGGTCACATTGAAAAATCTCTTCCGAAGCTGGGGGATAAACATTGCACAAACATAAAGCAAGAGCAAGAATCAAACATATCCATAAAATTAAATTTAAATTAAATTAAATTCAATGGAAAAAATTGAAATCAAGGATGTTTTATTATATTTGGTTTTTTTTTCTAAATGCAAATTTGGGCCTGTCCGTGGAACTAATTGAAGTCCTTGGATTTATACGTGGACTGGGATGTGAATACCTTTCCCCGTCTTTATCCAATCTCCAACCATTTGTTTGATGTGGGACATTTTGCGGAATCAGATCAGCCATTTATTATTAGGGGTGAAGTTTGTTAGATAATTATTATGCTCCCAACTTAAAGGTATTACGGAAATAAGTTAACAATGTATATTAAAGTAAAATTCTTCGTTATGTGAAGTATCATTTTATATATGGAGAGACAGACAAATATATACATTAAGGGGTGTATTCAATTGAGAATTTGAGAGACTTTAATAGATTTATAAATCCATAGATTTTTATGGAGTTTAATTGATTTATAGAGTTTCCATATAAAATTTTGATTCAATTTCCTTGAAATCTCATAAAAAGAGGTCAGATTTGTAGATGCTTAAAATACATTACAAAATCTCTCAAATTCCCTCAAATTCTTCAACTTTCTCAAATTCTTTAAAATCAATTTCTAATTGAATACACATAGAATGTTATGAACTTCTTCAAAATCCTAATTGAATACACTCAAATTTCTAACGATTTTAATAAACTATCTTAAAATTGTAATTAAATACACCTTAAATTTCAAAGAATCACTTAAAATCCTGATTGAATACCCCCTAAATTCATCAAAAGAATTAAAATCCTTCAAAATCTCAATTGAATACATCTCCCTAAAAACGATTAAACAGCCAAATAAACAGCTTGGCAAACCAATATGTATCAAATTGACACACTTAATTAAGCACATCACATCTTTATATTAGTAAATGTGGTACGGATAACTTTATTTCCACGAAACCACAATCTTCTAGTTCACCCAACATACTTATGTAAGCCTGTCACATCTCTGTATCTAATGTGATCAGTAAATATGGTACAAATATTTTTATCCAGCTCAGACCAGGGCATGGCGAAAATAATACAGAAGAAACAATACCCCAAAAATTCATCAAGTAAAAATAAAAGTAGTCTTTTACAAATAATAAAACTAGGTTGTTAGCTCTTATGATCTCGCTGGAAATATCAAAACATGATTGACTGTTGGACTTCAAGTTTAATTCCTTCTTTCATTCTCCTAATGAAATCATCACACTTCTTGTTCAACTCCTCTGCACTCAGCACTTCAACCCCTTCCTCTTCATACAAATCATGATCGTCCACCACAACAGAGTTGTTTCTGCAGCGTTCATCTTCCTCCTCCGCAGCAATCAAAACCCTTTTTTTTTCTTCTACTGACACCAATATTTCATCTGCGCTTGCTTTCACTTGCTCGATTTCGACGTTGACAACTTCTTCCTTCGCTTTTGGAGATTTTGTTGCCTTGGTTTCTGCCAATTCAACTGCTTTTCGCCGGCTTTCGACACTCTTGAGATCGTGTTCTTCATTGGTGAGATTGGAACTTCCTGGTGGAGAAGTTCCAATGAGACCGGAGTTCTTCACAATGAACACCAAGAGTCCATTGCAAAGTAAAAACATGTAGTTCTTATCGAAATTTATAGAAAATGTGAAGGAATTGAAGGAGTGGAGAAAGAAAGAGATCAAAGAAGAGTAAGAGAGCAAGATTGAAAGCACTGAGACAGAGAGTAAAAACTTGATCACTTTGTGGGATTGGTTGAATTTGAATTGGCCTGCAGATTGGATGCTTGAAATCTTGATAGAATCCATGGATATCGGAGAAATTGCTCGAAGGGTTTTCCGAAATCGCGATGAGATGGTGCACAAATGTGATCAAATCTGATCGCAGGATTGAACAGAGCCTCAGAGGCCTAGTGAGTAGAGAGAGCTTTTGGTTTTGCACTTGACAAGGAAGGAAGCTTTTGGGTGCTTTATATAAGTTTAGAGTTGTGAATATAAGGGAAAGAGATATCTTTGGATCTCTTCTACTTAGGCTACTGGATTAAGTGATTCGGATATTTGAAATATCATTTAATGGTAAAAAATTATTACATCTTTTAAGGAATCAAAACAGATAAATCATTAGATGAAATTTCAAAAATCCAAATCACTTAATCCGATGATTATGATAAAAAAGATCCGAAGAGAATCTCCTTCCGAATATAATAATCTTTTGGTGGGTGAACTTATTTTGATATTTTGCAAATTTGCAGTGGTGCCCTTCACAGATGTATAGACCCCAACACAGTCAACTACCACTTTAATATTTAATTTTGATGACCAAGACTAAGTCAATGGTCTTTCCAAAAACAAAAAGTGAAATTTTATGGTGGTTCTTTTAGCTGTCTTATGACTTTTCTCATCAAGGAAAGAAATTTTTACGATGTAAATACACTATTACGTTGACGATTCGTACTAATAATATAAGAACATGTGATATATATTCTTGTATTATTAGCACGAAATATAGAAATTTTTACGATGTAAATACACTATTACGTTGACGATTCGTACTAATAATATAAGAACATGTGATATATATTCTTGTATTATTAACACGAAATATTATCATGACACTAAAACTATATCATCCAAAATTTTCTTGTGAAGGCGAAAAAATTTAATTTCATCTTAAAATTTTCACTTTATAGGATACATCTGTTGAGGTAGTAACTTTCTCTATTGGTGCCATACAATTGAAAAGGTCGTTAAAAAGTTTTTTCCTACATAAAGTAAAAGTTCTGACTAAAAGATGGTTGAATTTGAACAGTTGGTTTAATTTAACATTTTGTGGGTAAGTAGATGACTAGTAATTTCAAGGGTTAATTTTAAGGATGGGACATTCAAGTTTGTTTGTTTTTCTTTTTTTTTTTTTAAAATAAATGATATTATCTATATTAAGGAGAATGGTGGACTTAGTCTTACAATGAGCTAGTAATAATGTAGTTTAAATTCATATTTGGCGAGAATCGAATCTAAAATCTCTCACTTACAAGTAAAAAATAATATCACTAAACCGTAATACTAAGTGACAGGACATTGAAGTTTTAGTTTGGTTCAAGATTGCATATCTTCAATTTCGGCATATGGTTAGGCATGCATGTAATGAAAGTCAATAATTATCTCAATGGTAAGAAATTATGAAACCATTCCTTAATTCAAAGCGTTCAAAACATTTTATGCTATTTTGGAAGAAGAACTTTAATGTTTGATGGAATATTAAAATCGTTGTTGAAATTCCACTAAGAAAAATAATATAAATGGACTACTCGACCAATTCAAAGTTACTATTACAAAGGCGGATTTGTTACACCATTTTTTTTACATAATATTTTACATGTGTTTTTATGAGATCTCATTCCGTAATGTATTTTGACAATTTGAACCGTCTATATTTTAAAACATTATTTATAAATTATCCTTGTAAAAACTAGACAAATCCAAAATATTAAGACATTCATTTATAATGAAAAAAATGAACAAATACTATGCTACGAAGAAATTTTAAATCCTTAATCATTTTGGATGTCTAATTATTTTAGGATTGACTTGGACATTAAGGTTGACCAGTCTGGAGGTTTGTTGAATCTTCCGTGTGGAGCCTGGAGGTTTGTTGAACATAAGTGAGTGTTCACATTGCGGTGACTTGGATTTGCCACGTGTTAATCCCATCTTTCTGGTAACGATAATAATAGGAAGACTAAATTAGTTGATAAAAATAAAGAAACTAAAGCATATGGAAGTTGATAATTAGTTTATTACTGAAGCGTTGATAAACGTGCTTATTTCTATTAATGATACATCAGTTAATTTGTAAATTATGTTTACAAATTTAATCTATTTAACATTATCTTAATCCAAATTGTGTAAGAACAAATTCAAACTTATAGGCTGGTTAGGGATGGGCTTTGTGTGGGGCTGAGGCCTGGGATGGGCCAAATATGTCACTTCCAAAATTGGGTCAACAATCCTTGATGTCTAAGCGTTTAAGAGTTGGCCCATTTTTAGGACCAGTTTCATTTTCATTGTTAAGGGGATAGATCTCCATTTTCTTCAAAAAAATGGAGATTGGTTATGAAACTCACTTCACATTGAATTTCAACGATCCTAAATTTTTAGGACAACTTTCCTTTTCATTATTAAGGGGATAGATCTCCATTTTCTTCAAAAAATGGAGATTGGTTACAAAACTCACTTCACATTTAATTTTAACGATCCTAATTATTTATTTTTTAAGTTGCACTTCATAGATCATCTTTGCAGATCATATGATGTGTCATCAATAGCAAATAAGTACATTAACTAATACTTAAATAGTAATCAAATCATCAACAATCATGTTATATGATTTACAAAATATAGTTTAGACAAAGTGGGTCTCATTCCACTTTCTATAGCCGGTTATTTTGTGCATATTAAGGGTGGCGCTACTTACACATCTCTTTTTACTTTCCACATACTCTTATTAATTTTTGTACTTTGATCTTTTTTAATTCATTTGATTCGACGACCAAAAATTAATGTATAAGAAGTAAAAATGGATGTGTGATAGGACCACCCTAATCAAATGCATGCATCCCTAGCCAATCTCCAAATAAACTAACAAGTAACACTTTTAAATAAAAATTTGCTCACTCTTTGGGGAGTGGTTAATATTAATAATCCCAATATGTTATCTCACCAAAAAGTGCAACATAATATTATATATTTTTGCTAACCAAATAAACAAAGCATGGTTCTGATATGTGAGATCTACTGAACCAACCAAGTGTGCACAGATATCACTCATTTAACAAAACATTATCTCAAAAGCTAAGCTATAAATACTCCTCTCAAATTATTCCTCAATTTTTTTGAGCTTCATCTCCTCCCCTATTGCATGGCTACTCGCCTGAGTACCTGTTCATCTTCTTCAACTTCATTCCCTCCCTCTTCATTCAAAAACCAGACACCCCGCCTCATAAAGTTCATCACTTTGCTCAGAGAATCCCATTCCTCCAGATGGGTTTCTCAGATTCCCCTCAGAATCCCTGCCAGAAAGCACTTTCAGCTCAAATCCTCAAATGGGCATCCGCTCAATGCTGTGTCTTTCAATGACGGTTCGTTTCTTGGTTTTCTGTTGATTTTTTGCTACCCCTTTTGGCCTTTCGTTTAATTGTTTGAGTAAAGAGTTTGTTTATTTGCTTGATTTGCTTCCAAAGTGTGAATTTTCAAAAGATTATTGATTGATTGTTTAGGATTGTGATTAAACCACAAGAAACATTCTTTATTGACAGACGTGATCTAATTTCAATTATGTATGATGCTTTTTTTGACCAGTTTCAGAAAAGCACTTTTGACAACTGGAAATCATACTTTTAGAGTTTTCTTAACCTGGATTGAATGCTTATAGATACAATTTTAGCAATAAAAACTACAATTAGTGACTGTAAAATAACTTGCTTTGGAAGTTATAGTGTTTTTCGGATTTTGAATCCACAAATTTTCCATCTTGGTGCTCCATTTAGCTGTCTGCGATCTGTTGTGCTTCATTTACTTGGTTAATTTTCTTTGTTGGGTTTATTACTGTTCAATGTAAAATTGGTATTTGGAATTTGTTCAGCTGGAAATACTCTGGGACAAGAATATACCGAGTCTCGTGGCAAAGCCTTTCCCATCTCGGATTCAGAAAATGTAGCATCTAATTTAAGCATAACTGTTGTTGGTGCTTCTGGAGACCTTGCAAAGAAGAAGATATTTCCAGCGCTTTTCGCTCTTTATTATGAAGATTGTCTACCTGAGGTTACAGTCTTCATCATGTCATCAGTTTTCACATGGTGATCGTACCAAACAAATGGCTAACTACGTTCCATATGCTTATATCTTTGTGTAGAATTTCATGGTGTTTGGTTATGCTCGAACTCAAATGACTGATGAAGAGCTGAGGAACATGATTAGCGGAACCTTGACTTGCAGGATAGATCAGAGGTATGTTGTCTTCCTAAGCAACGGTGAACATGCGGTTACATGAATTCTTTCTGTTATCTACAAATTGGCGTGCATCAATGACTCGCAGGGAAAATTGTGAGGACAAAATGGATCAGTTCTTGAAAAGATGCTTCTACCATGCTGGTCAATATAATTCCGAGGAAGATTTTGCAGAATTGAACAGCAAGATGATTGAGAAGGAGGTAATGCGTACTAGATCTTTTTCTCTTGTATGTTTAATATGAGCTAGTTTTGTACATGCAGAAAACTCATCGAATACTAGATAAGTTGATGTAAATTGGACATTTAAGAAACATTGCAGAAAATTAAATCTTGCAGGAAACCTTATTACTATTTGAATGTACAGAGTAATTGTCTTTAAATAGATTTCAAATCTACTAAGACTAGCTTAAAAGTTTATATCCGAGAACCGACCTTTGGGAAGAAACTCCTAGATAAAGAGCCTGAGCTTCAACTTCTTACTTTTATGAGATACTAATCTGAAAATATATATAATGGTGGTCTGGTAGATGTCATGAACAACCGTTTAACTGACAGGTATTGATGTACATTGACAAAAACTAACGTTTTATGACAAACAGTTTGATATCTTGGATGGTGCTCCTTTGCAGGCCGGAAGCAAGTCAAATAGGTTGTTTTACTTATCAATACCTCCAAACATATTTGTGGATGTGGTCAGATGTGCTAGCGTTAAAGCTTCTTCCGCGAATGGGTGGACGAGGGTAATTGTTGAGAAGCCATTCGGTCGTGATTCCGAATCATCTGCGGAGCTAACCAAATGTTTAAAGCAATACCTTGCTGAAGATCAAATATTTAGGTGAATTTTCTCTCATGCTTTATGAATACTCAGATTTATTTGATTTTAATGAAGAAGTTTGATCTTCTAAATACTTTTCAGGATTGACCATTACTTGGGCAAGGAACTTGTCGAGAATCTATCCGTGCTTCGCTTCTCAAATCTTGTTTTTGAGCCTGTCTGGTCTCGTAACTACATTCGTAATGTGCAACTGATCTTTTCTGAAGATTTTGGCACAGAGGGAAGAGGAGGGTGAGTTTCTTCGTCTACAATGTTGTATGGCATTAAATTATTCAATCACCCGACTGTGATTACCTCGTTTCCAGATATTTTGACAAGTATGGAATCATTCGGGACATAATGCAAAACCATCTTCTGCAAATATTAGCACTGTTTGCTATGGAAACACCAGTCAGCCTAGATGCTGAAGACATTAGGAACGAAAAGGTAAATTTCTCTGTTTCTGATATCTTTTATGTCAAAATTCTGGTTTTTAAGAAATTTTATCCCAGAATGTTATGGAGATCCTACCTTAATGTTCTCACCTTTGAGTTGATCATGATATATTTGATTGGGGGAGATGATCTGAACTCAGGTAAAGGTTCTACGGTCAATGAGGCCACTGCTGCTTGAAGATGTAGTCATTGGTCAATACAAGGGTCACAGCAAGGGCAGCAAATTGTATCCTGCTTATATAGACGACCCAACTGTGCCAAAAGACAGCCTCACCCCTACATTTGCCGCAGCAGCTCTCTTTATTGACAATGCCAGATGGGATGGAGTTCCTTTCTTGATGAAAGCAGGAAAGGCTCTCCATACTAAGCGGTATGTTGAAATGTCTAATCTCCCTAAGGATCATTTATTGTCGTATTCCCTCATATTGTGAGATGCAAATATTTGGGCAACCTGATTTTTTCGCTATGATTACTTAACCAGAGCAGAGATCAGAGTCCAATTCAGACATGTTCCGGGAAACTTGTATAAGAGGAACTTTGGAACCGATTTAGATAAGGCTACAAATGAGCTTGTGCTTCGTGTCCAACCTGATGAAGCCATATATCTGAAGATCAACAACAAAGTCCCTGGTCTTGGAATGAGACTGGATCGAAGTGACCTGAATTTGCTTTACCGATCAAGGTACAATACTCTTGTAGGCATTAGGCTGTATGAAATGGTCTTAAATCTCCACTAAACTTTAGTAAACACTTAACCAAATGGGGATGTTCATACTAGTAAAAGTATTTTCCCCAAGTCTTTAACTTTTCTGCTTAATAATCACTTGCATAATGAAGGCATTATTAAGAGTATGGTTGCTTTGTGAAGGTATCCAAAAGAAATACCCGATGCATATGAGAGGCTACTCCTAGATGCAATTGAAGGGGAACGAAGGTTGTTCATTAGAAGTGACGAGCTGGATGCTGCTTGGTCACTATTCACACCATTGTTGAAGGAGCTTGAGCAAAAGAAGATTGTTCCCGAGCTCTACCCCTACGGCAGTAGAGGACCTGTAGGACCGCATTATCTTGCTGCGAAGCACAATGTCAGGTGGGGTGATCTCAGTGATGATTGACACTTAGCAAAGTTACATAAATTTTGCTCTGCGGTTTTTGCATGCTCATGTCCGGTTCTTGTTCCCCATTTTAGCCATTGATTCTCGTCAATGCAGATATTGAAATACTAAAATGTTTCTGTTATGTGGTGGTTATTCTGGTGAATCATTGAATCATCACAGGACTTTGTGGATTTTACTCATGGTAGAACAATTTTAACAACCCTCAAGTGTGAACAGTAATGGTGAGATTATTGAATGTGTAATATTGGACCGCAATGGTGGAAATCTTTCTATGGACACCAAACATGCTCTCTAGACACAGCCTCCAAGTTTCCCTCCCTCTTCTTGGAAATTCTCGATTCGGGCTGCCGGAAACTCTCACAAATGGGTCGGGCTAGCATGTTGGTCCCATGCCCAAAAGAAGGGCTTACAACCCATTAGTCTCTCTCCACGCACAAGGCTCGCCCTTTGTGTGATAGTAGCCGTGCACAAGAACCTCCTCCCGTCTTCTTGCACCAACAATAGTGACTCCTCCTTCCCTCATCGTAATCCGCTTGTCCTTTCTCTTAAATCATGGTTCATAAGTTTCATGTTACAAATCCATCAACAATTTGAAAACTTAATTGTCTCTTTATAATTTTAATTTATTTTAACGAAACCTTAAAATTGATTTCAAGTAATAGGTTCGAATCCCAGCAGTTTTTCCCATACATGTTTTTCTCTCTATTTGTTTCAATAACCTTCGAATTCAATGGCCATATCTTATGTCTCCGATACCACATGTAAGATTAATCTAATCGCAACCAAGATCAAAGATTAAGCCATAGAACTACCAGACATGATCAACAAACTAGAAATGCGTTTTTGCAATTCGAAAGACAGACATACCTGTAAAAATCGAAACAGAAGAAGCCATTGCATCCTCTAAACCGTGCACATTTTCTTCTCTTGCAAAAAATCAATACTCTTCCTAACAATAGGCTTTTGGATCAATAACCGAGCATACTGTGAAAGTAGCGGTCACTATTTATAATAGATTAATCTCAATGACTCTTATTAGAATCATCATAAGAAACCAACAATGGATCCATATTATATCACGATTGTATTACAGTTTCAATACAAAGTTCTAATCCAACAAAAAAGGCAACCACTTTCCAACAAGACTTTTCCATAACAATTTGAATCATTTAATTGAGTGTTGGGAATCAAAAAATTTAAGCCAAAATGTCCAACGAAAGTAGATCGATTTTTTGTCGGTACAATTGTAAACACGAGAAATTCCTGAAACAGGCGAGAGACAAGAATACGTGTACAAAATAATATTTTGTATTAATGATTTTGGGGTTACAATCTCTTTGTAATTTGGTCCTCTGATTCTATCTTCGTAGGGTGTGGGTTTGTGGATGAGTTGTTGATCCAAAGGGCCGTCGGGGCTTGATCTAAGGATGCACAGCTGATGAATGGATCTTCAAGGGGCGTTGGGCTTGATCTTGAAGGTTGATGGATGAACGGATCTTCAAGGGCTTTTGGGCTTAATCTTGAAGGATGAACGGATGTGTGGATTTGTTGAGGTTGTTGATCCAAAGGGGCCGTTGGGGCTTGATCTTAGGATGAACGGATCTTCAAGGGCTTCTGGGCTTAATCTTGAAGGTTGATGGATGAACGGATCTTCAAGGGCTTTTGGGCTTAATCTTGAAGGATGAACGGATGTGTGGATTTGTTGAGGTTGTTGATCCAAAGGGGCCGTTGGGGCTTGATCTTAGGATGAACGGATCTTCAAGGGCTTCTGGGCTTAATCTTGAAGGATGAACGGATGTGTGGATTTGTTGAGGTTGTTGATCCAAAGGGGCCGTTGGGGCTTGATCTTAGGATGAACGGATGATGAGCGATGAACACTTTCTTCAAGGGCCGTCGGGGCTTGATCTTGAGTTGGTGGAAGTTCTTCAAGGGCGTCGGGGCTTGATCTTGAAGGTTGATGGATGATGAACGATGAACGGATGTGTGGATTTGTTGATCCAAAGGGGCCGTTGGGGCTTGATCTTAGGATGAACGGATCTTCAAGGGCTTCTGGGCTTAATCTTGAAGGATGAACGGATGTGTGGATGATGAACACTTTCCTCAAGGGCCGTCGGGGCTTGATCTTGAGTTGGTGGAAGTTCTTCAAGGGCCGTCGGGGCTTGATCTTGAAGGTGGATTTGACGAAGAACGAAGATTGCTTTCTTGATCCTTCGGGATTTGCTTGAGAGCTTTAGAGTTTCAAGGCTTCTTTCTTTCTTCCTTCCTTCTTTTCTTCTTTTCCTTTCTCCTTCTCCTTCCTTCTTTTTTTCCCTTCTTCCTCCTTCTTTTCTTCCCCCTCCAAATGAATGCCTTTGGCCTCATATTTATAGAATTCCAAAACTTGATTTTTGGATTTAAATAATCAGATGAAATAAATCGTTTCTGCCAGGTATTGACACGTGTCATATTTGATGACTTTTCCAATTTATTTCGATTTTTTGTTGAATCACACGCTACATGTAAAATTTATGTGACACGTGAACGTTGAAATTTTAATTATTGATCAACATTCATTTCACCGAAATTTTGATGTCTACAAATGCCCCCACTTCAAGGCGCGTCGTAAACATGTGCTTGTCACGTGTAGAAGATGCGTTTTGAAGTCCCTTAATGTAGATGTCAACCCAAGGGCCGTCGAGGCTTGATCTTGAATTGGGCTGGAAATTTCTTCAAGGGCCATCGAGGCTTGATCTTGAGCTTGACTGGAAGATTTTCTGGTTTCCTCCAATCGTTGATTTTCCGCAGGCTTAATCTTGAACTGGGCTGGAGGATTCTTTTGGTCTCCTCCGAAGGTCTGAACTTACTCCTTTTATCTGGAGTTGAATTTGATTCAAGGGTGGTGAACACTTGATTTTGAATCGGACTTGTGATTTCTTCAAGGGCCATCGAGGCTTGATCTTGAACTGGGCTGGAGGATTCTTTTGGTCTCCCCCTACCGTTGATTTTCCTTTGTGCTACTCTTGAATTGGGTAGCAGGATTCAGACACATGGCAGGCAAGCAGGAGGTGGAAGTGATGACCTGTTTCTTTGTTCAATCTTTCCCCAATTCGTATTGAAGAGGGTAGATCGGCAGACTGACTCCAAGTGCCGTCTGATTGCTCTTTTCACTTTGTCATGCGAGTAATAACAAGGACAAAGGAAAGGACATGGAGAAAGCATGATATAAGATACCTTTGCTTTTGAAGAAGCAGCGAATGAATCAGCACATATATTTGTTGTGCTTGTCTCCACATGCTTTGATGTATCATTTTCACTTGTCTTACTTGCTCCCTTTGCAGAAGTGGTATTTCCTTATGCAGGTTTGGCATCTTCTCGTGTAGTATTTGTCCTCTGATGCAGGAATGGAATGCAACCTTTGCATTTAAATGGTGCTTCAAAACATTACTTCTCCGCGACGATGAGTACTCGAGAGCAATGCAAGGTAAGCAACCAGGCAAAGGTTCCAGGCAATCAGTTCCAGGTCGGAAGTTTGATTTCAGGTTCCGACTGATAACTCTATTTCCCCTTCTCCTGCATGTAAGAGCAAGGACAAAGAAAAGGACAGGGAAAAAGCATGATATGAGATACCTTTGCTTTCGCCCTTGATGATATGAGATACTTTTGCTTTTGAAGAAGCGGTGAATGAATCAGCACATGCTTCCATCTACCGTTTCCTCCTGGGTCATCTGTACTCCAGGCATCTGGTATCATCTTTGGGGAAGAGGAAAAAAATTGAGTATTTTGAGATGTTTTGCTGGGAGTGTACTCTCGGAGGTGAGGAAGAGTTGGGCATTTTTTTTTTTTTCCGCAGGTCTGCCTTGCCATAAAAGATGAAGGTCGACATATATAGGGATTTCCCAATAGCAAGTGGTGGTACTGTTCTTTTACCCTTGTCGACAAACGTTTTGATCCCGCAAATTCGGCTTTTTGAAATAGTGACGACTCTTCGATCTTTGAATACGCCTCTTTGATTTCTGAACGACGCCTCTTCGATTTCTGAACGACGCCTCTTCGATTTCTGAACGAGCGTCTCTTTTGACAAAGTGGCACGCGTTTTCTGAAAAGCAGAGAAAGCGTCGCCGAACTTTGCGCTCGTCAGCTAAAGATGTGTAGCTGCGATGATGACCTCCACGTGATCTTTTGACAAAGTGGCACCCGTGCTCTGAAAAGCCGCGAAAGCGTCGCCAGCCTCCACGTGTTTTCAACTTTGTCGGAGATCTTTTGACAAAGTTGAACGCGTTTTCTGGAAAGCCGAGAAAGCGTCGCCTAACTTATGCCGGAAAATCCAGCTTTTGAGATTTGCAGAGCGATGTCTCTTCACTTTTGAACAAGCGGCCCTTCGATTTCTGAACCAATGCCTCTTTGATTTCTGAGCAAGCGCCTCTTCCTTTTTATAGAGGTATTGATCACCTGTAACATGCATACTTTGAAGGTTGCTCATTCCTGAAAATCATCTCCGGCCTTTTGAGTTTTAACTCCATCCACCCATCTATTTTAACACCTTTGAAAAATGGCTAATCCATCGAACCTTAGCTTAGAATTGAGTCTCAGCAGTGATCCGGTTGCGCCGCTTCAAGGTAATGTATGGTGTCCTTCTTTCTTATCTTCTAACGGTCCTCTTACAGGTGAAGACTCAGTGATGCAGGACGCCACAACAGCTACAATAGTGGCTCGGAACCTCCTCACTCCCAAAGACAGTCAGCTACTTTCAGGACGGTCCGATGAGTTGGCCGTTCAAGAGTCCCTCGCTCTTAGTGTTCAGTGTGCGGGCTCTGTGTCCAACATGGGCCAACGCCTGCTTGCTCGGTCCCGTCAGGTGGAATCATTGATGGCAGAGGTGGAAGATCTTAAGCAGGAGATTAAACAGCTTAAGTACGAGAATAGAAGTTTGCATGTGCTTGCAAATAACTATTCGTCGGGCATGAAGAGGAAGCTTGATGAGATGCAAGAATCTCAAGGTCGCGTTCAAAGTGACCGTCAAAGGCTTGCGTCTTTCTTCCAGAGGCACATTTTTCCGGCGTCATCAAGCGTTCCACCAAGTATTGAGGCCTCGAATGCTCTATCTCCGATGCCTCTTGCTCCAATGCCTTCTGCTCCGAGAGTGTTGCCACGTAGTGGGGCTTCACGTACACATCCTTTGTGAAAGCTTCTTTTTTTTTTTTTTTTTTTTTTTTTTTTTTTTTTTTTTTTTTTTTTTTTTTTTTTTTTTTTTTGTACACATTTGTAATTTCTCGAAAATCAATGAACATGCTTTGTTTTATTTAGTGTATTGTGCT